TTAGGTCCATACTTGGTCCGATTTTGTTTTCGATTTACATCAATGACTTGCCCAACGGTTTATTTCAGTCAAAGATCCTACTTTATGCGGACGATGCTGTCCTTTTCTACGCTGACTCCAATATCGGAAAAATAAGTACTGCTTTGAATAAAGATCTAAAACAGTTGCAGTCCTGGACCCATCTTAATAAGCTGTGCATTCATCCTGTGAAGACCGAATGCGTTCTTTTCGGCACTCAACAACGAATCGCTTCGGCTTCCCTTTCAGATGGGCCATTTAGCTTATTCCTCGGGGATAAGCCGATAAATCAAACACAACATTACAAATACCTTGGTGTGCTAATAGATGCCAATCTTAATTTCAAACAACACGTGGATAAGCTACTGGTTAAGAATTCCAAAAGAATCGGTGTCCTCGGAAGAAGTAGAAACAATCTAACTGTCGACGCAGCCAATAAAGTTTATCAGTTTCTTGTTCTGCCGGTTATGGATTATTGCGATGTTGCTTAAAGCAGCATTGGGAAAATAGAACGTGATAAGTTAGATCAAGCACAGAGAGGGGCAGCAAAGATTGTTTTGAAGACCAAAGATTCAGATGCGGAGAAGAATTTAAAGTTGCTTCCATTGTCTCTGAGGGGTGACATGCATACTATTAATTTGACTTTTAAATGCTTGAGGGGATCCCCTCCAGTATTTTAAGATTATTTTAAGGTTTTTAGAACAATCCACAACACGAGGGGAAGTGGGCAGAACTTGCTGCTCCCCAAAGTCAGAACTGAGACGACAAGGAAGTCTTTTCATTTTAATAAATCTAAACTTTTTAATAATATTGCAAGTTAAATGAAGGATTCTAAGTCAGTTGTGATTTTTAAAACTCGTATTTTGGAATTATATAGATCAAAAGTTTTTTAGTTACATGTTAAGTTTTTTTCTATCAGTTTAGCTTTTCAATGTATTTTAATTCTTGTGTTTAAGCTTTTTTAAATGATTTTTTAAATCTTGTTGTATTTTTAACTTTTAACTTTTTTTTTCTTTCTTCACTCAAAGAAAGGGACAGGTTAGAACCGAAAAGGACTAGTAAGGACAGAAAAGGACGACTTAGGGCACTAAAGGACTAGTAAGGACGGTAAAGGACTAGTAAGAACAGAAAAGGACTAATAAGGACGGGAAAGAACTAAAGAGGACATAAAAGGACGGAAAAGGACACAAAAGGACTAGAAGGACGGGAAAGGACTAGTAAGGACACAAAAGGACTAGTAAGGACAGAAATGGACTAATGAGGACATAACAGGATGGAAAAGGGCTAGTAAGGACAGAAAAGGACTAATAAGGACGGGAAAGGACTAATAAGGACAGAAAAGGACGGAAAAGGACGCAAAAGGACTAGTAAGGACGGGAAAGGATTAGTAAGGACACAAAAGGACTAATAAGGACAGAAATGGACTAATGAGGACATATTAGGACGGAAAATGACTAGTAAGGACACAAAAGGACTAATAAGGACATAAAAGGACTAGTAAGGACAGAAAAGGACTAGTAAGGACAGAAAAGGACTATTAAGGACGGGAAAGGACTAGCAGGGATACTAAAGGACTAGTAAGGACACAAATAGATAAGTAAGGACAGAAAAGGACTAATAAAGACATAAAAGGGCGGAAAAGGACGGAAAAGGATTAGTAAGGGCAGAAAAGGACTAATAAGGACGGGAAAGGACGGGAAAGGACTAGTAAGGACACAAGAGGACGGAAAAGGACACAAAAGGACCAGAAGGACGGGAAAGGACTAGTAAGGACACAACAGGACTAGTCAGGACAGAAAAAGACTAATAAGGACCTAAAAGGACTAGTAAGGACAGAAAAGGACTAGTTATGACGGAAGAGGACGAATAAGTACATAAAAGGACATAAAAGGACACAAAGGACAAGCGAGGAGTAGAAAGTACAGAAAAGAGGAGCTTTGAGAAATGCGCACTACTTACAAGACGTTGTACACAGTGTTCATTTAATTTATGTTGCACGACTATATGGTGTGCTAGCATGTAGTACTTACAGGGGAACACAGGGTAACACAAGGTAACACAGGATAACACAGGGCGCTTTCCATTTAGTCAAAATTTCCGGATTTCCGGTTCGGCGGTAAATGGAACACGTTTCGTCGGTTCTTCCCACTGGAAAATTCCCAGAAAAAGTGGAAAATCTAAAAAGGTGGGCCCGTTTTCCCGGTTGGAATTTCCGAAAGGAATTTCGCGTTCCATTTACTCGTTTCTCGTAGTTTGTACCAGTTCCAGGTCCACGGTAAGAAAATCTGTCGGGCACTGCGACGTACCGGGGTTTACGACCAAATGGAACAACGTTTTACCAATCGGAAATTCCACTTTTGCTCCCACCGAAATTTCCCGGTTTTTTTCCCAAATGGAAAGCGCCCACAGTAACACAGGGTAACATAGGAACTACGTCTTACACAGTTCTTCTCTACCAACTAACAACGACGCATCCGTCTCGGGACCCTTATTAAACCGCAAACTCGGTATATTTCATAGTAGGTATTTTGAGAACGGACCTCTGGAGCCAGGGAACATCAGCCGCAGAAATTACATTTAAACAAGTTTATGATAATAATGTTCAAAATCACGTCTTATGGTACATTTTTTTAAAGTTGAATCAAAAAAATTAAAGTCCTGAGCTATAAATTGTTCTTGAGTTAATATTGAAGAATTGTGGCACACGTTTGTAACTTGAGCATACAGGAAAACAGTCTTGATTGAATCAGCAACGGGAACATATTAAAAGAGATTTCTTAAGAAATAAACCGGTAAAAACGAACGATAAAATCCGACGTTTCGGAGTTCATGACTCCATTATCAAGGAAAAATGTTTTTCGTCATGCAAATGAACGGATGACGGATGACACTGTTCGAGTGGTTTTACCATTTAAAGACCAAATCTCAGCAGATATGGTGAAAGAACAACTCAAGGATCCGAGCCAGCCTGAAAATTGAACAAGAACTGAATGTGAAAGAAGCAAAGCCACCGATAGCAAATGAGCAGCAGTGTGTAGTTTATAACTTCCAATGTGACCCTATGGCGTACATTTGCGGACAAAAATAATTGAAAATAAAAGACAATTTGAAGTTCAAAAATTAGACTATCCATGTCGAAATCTCGTCATATGAATTTGAAATCGCAATGAACGCAGTCGAAATAGAACAAGTCATCATTGAACAAGTTGAAACTATAAAGGGAAAACTCGACATCGCGGATGTTGAAGTTCAAATCACCATTCCAACTAAAATGCAAATTACATGATTTGAACTTCAATTCACCTGCTCCACTCTAATAAGCCACTTAATCGTCAACAATGCAACCATAATCTTCCACAAAATTCCAAATGAAACCTTTAATTTGAACTTAAAGTCACGTCACATATTCGAATTCGAAAAACCAAAATTTCAATTCGAAAGGAAGCGGAAGTAAAAATACACAGGAACCGGAAATAATAAGAGTTTCGCTACACTGTACATACGGGATGTTTGCATAACGGCATTTTGGCGCGAAAAGATTTCCCTTCACTCGAACTCTCTGGTCAATATGGCGGACAATGTGAATGATAAGGGTGACTCCAGGACAATCCAACAGATTGTGAGGGCTGTAGTGGCAAACTTAAACTTTATAAAAGGAGAAGCATTAAGGCTTCTGAGAACAAATTCCTCTCAATTTACTTTTGGGGAAAACATGGGTAATTTCAAAACACGCCTGCAGAATAGACATTACCCAGCTAGAATTGTAGAAAAACGCCTTTCAGAGATTAAATTCTCTCATAGAGAAATGTCGCTAGCGCAGAAAAACAAAACCGCACCTAAGAAAACACTGCCCTTTATAACACAATACCATCCGGCGTTGCCTAACCTAAAGGACACACTCATGGGGAAATGGCACCTTATAGAAAATCAACCGCAACTGAGAGAAATCTTTAAGGAGCCCCCCAGCATCTCATATCGTAAGGGAAAATCCCTCAAGGACATCCTAGTAAAGGCTTTATTGGAATTTATTCATCCGCGAACTGCAGGAGTCGTGTAGGCTTATCAACACTGTTAGCAGAGTTGACAAAGGTCTCTCGTGAGAATCAAGTTGACGAAATAAAAATTCAGAATTATCATATGATGCTGAGTTTAGATTAGTTTCTGATGCCTCTAACAATCTAACCAGTCCAACGAAAAACTCTTCGTTTGTTCGGTAGCCATCGCGAAGCCATGACGACGATCACATCAGAGATGAGGAAAGCTCGGGTTCCAAGCCTCCCATCTGTAGACTCGTACCTAGTAGTTACTCGGTTCCTGTGTATTTTTACTTCCGCTTCCTTTCGAATTGAAATTTTGGTTTTTCGAATTCGAATATGTGACGTGACTTTAAGTTCAAATTAAAGGTTTCACTTGGAATTTTGTGGAAGATTATGGTTGCATTGTTGACGATTAAGTGGCTTATTAGAGTGGAGAAGGTGAATTGAAGTTCAAATCATGTAATTTGCATTTTAGTTGGAATGGTGATTTGAACTTCAACATCCGCGATGTCGAGTTTTCTCTTTATAGTTTCAACTTGTTCAAAGTAACTTCAAGTTCGAATGATGCTATTTCGACTGCGTTCATTGCGATTTCAAATTCATATGACGAGATTTCGACATGGATAGTCTAATTTTTGAACTTCAAATTGTCTTTTATTTTCAATTATTTTTGTCCGCAAATGTACGCCATAGTGACCTGTGTGATGCAGACTATGTAGTTTACACACGCGACCGGCTTACTGTTACTGTAGTTTACGAAACGAAATGGAGCGAAACGAAACGAAATGAAAATCTGTAGTTTGCGAAATGACAATCTGTAGTGTACGAAATGACAATTTACTTTCTCGCTGCGTCTACTCGGATATTCTATTAAAACATAAAATCCCCCACAAAAAGCCTCGCTCAGTTCCAAGCCTCCTCTGGTAACACGGATAGAAGCCTTGAACTAGCCTGGGTATGATGGGCAACATTACCTGAACGAAACATGGCGGACGGAGAACAATTTGCTAAGAAGGCAGAAAATTTAACACCGAAAGAAGAACTTGAGGTTCACATGGATGTACAAGAGGGGGGACCTGAACAAGACAGGTAGAATCGTGAATGAGAGGCGTTAAAGTTCATATTTGTTTTTAAAACTGACTACATCTTTCTGTTTCATAAGTCTGACGATGGCTGAGGCAAAGAAAGCGGAAGGTAATAAGGAGTACGCTCAGAAGCACTATGAAGCGGCTGTAAAGCTCTACTCAGAAGCAATAGGTAGGATTCTTCTGTGAAAGCATCTAGATTCAATCACAGCTAGAACATAGTACACATTACATGATCCGAGTTGTACGAATAAAGGGACAACTGTGCAGGTAGAGTATGGCAAATTTTTTAAAAAGCTTATTGTGCGTACCAAAATCGTAGTATTGCTCGCGGCAGCATTGGACCTAACAAGAGATTTGCATCTTACTTCCAGGGGAGTGGCCATGAACTTTTTTTCACATCCCCTTCTTACACTTTGCTTTTTGATCAGTACGGTGAGGTTATATACGAAAGGATGGACTGGTAGTTAGTCTCGCTTGCGTAAGCAGCGAGACTCATAATCTGCGATGCGTTTTCTCCCCGGGGGGTTACTCCCTTATATAGGCTATACAGGTATGTGCGGCGCCAAAGGGTATGTTTTTTTTAGCCGTTTTGATCTGAAGTAGGGTATCAATTTGGACCATTTTGGTCTGAAATAGGGTATTATGGTTTGTGCACTCCAGTCTTGAATTGGGTACGTTTTTTAGAAGAGGCTACTTCTTCATCATTTGGCGATAAGACCATTTCCCTTTAATGTTTAAGCCAACCATTTACGTGCCGTAACAGCTTGTCACACACTCTGGTCACGCACCGGGCTCCAGGGTTTCAGGTCTGAAATAAGGTAGGGAAAATCACAGATTTTGGTTTGAAATAGGGTAAGGGTTTTAGGAAGTGTGCCGCACACCCCCACCCAATTTTTCTGGAAGTACCCCCCCCACCCCCCCGGGTTTTTCGTCTTATTTTATCTTACTTAAAAAGACTGTGATGGTCTTGTGTTGTAAACTTTTATTGTATGCAAATAGTCTTGTGATGAGATTGTTTATTTGTTTCGGCAATTATGACTGAAATGACGTGTCATGCAAGCCTGAGGATTTCATTTCCCATGGAAAACAATTTTTTGGTTCTGTGCCCAGAGATCATGGGAAACGATCAGTAACATTTTGTTTTGGTTCCCTGAAAACTCATGGGAAGCCATCCCGTAAATGTTTTTAATTTTGCAAAGTCATATATTTTTCCTTGGCCCTGGGTGCCATAAACCATTAAAGTATAATACTATTTGGGAATGATTCAAGATGGAACTGATAGATGCTAAACATTTCAGTTTTGCACATGAGTTGTAAGTAAAGATTTGACCTACTAGTTAAGTACCTGTGTGAAAAAGTAAAGAATTTCTGTAAATGGATCTCTAAGACTGAATATGGCACTGGGAAACTATTATTTTTGTTTCTGTTATTTTAAGACCACGGTAACAACATGTTTTGTTACTGTGAAATCCTTGGGCTTGCCATGTAAATCACTTACTGTCAATGATGTACTTTCTCTAGAATTGAGGCCCTTGAATTCTCATTAATTTATACGAGCGTATAGCCTGTGACCGCAGGCATATTTTCGAGTGTCGCTAACATGTGTACTAAATCAATTCAGAAACAAATAAAAAGTAGCGACATAGATAAAGTAGGAAGTAAATAACTTTTGGCGAGTAAATCCTGTTTCGTGTAGAATTAATCACCTCCTCATTTCTTGATCTAATCTCCAAGCTAGCGAAACTGAATGCCGCTGTAGGTGTGTTTTTGTTGGGTCAAAATCTTTTTGTACTCCTTCTTTTCAGTGCACTGAACTGTAAAACATGACCATATTAGGTGGTCTGGGGCATGGTCACCCAGGAAAAATTGACGTTTAGATTGTCTAAAACAGCTGGAAATGCACCTAAAACTGAATGTGCAGGACACGTTTTGGCAGTTTTCTTTGTCAATTGCCATCATTGCACAACTAACATCATTGTCAAACTTGATGGAAATGGCAATGCAATTGGTGCTTTAACAATGATTGTCTTTAATACTGATTTTCCTTTCATCCCATGTGACTGTTGATATTATCAGAAATACCCATATAGAGTCTCAATACTGTTACACATTTTTAGTTTAAAGTTACATTTTTGTGACATCTGCGCTTGCGCATGTAGTCACTATTGCCATCGTGTTAGTTTTCTGAAAGTGAGTAAGTAACAACAGAATATACTTTAGAGCCAATCAGCATACAAAGATATCCATTTTTTGGAATCTTTCATCACGATGATGATTTGTCCATAGTCCTCAATGAAAAACAAACTGCTTGGTTGCCTTGCAGCCAGCTTTGATAGCGAGTGTGGCAAGTGGCGTGTATTCAAGTGTGAGAAAGTGTTGCCATGTAACCCAATGAAAACACTATGAAATACATCATTTCTCAAGACGCCTATCTTCACTTCTCATCTTCAAAATAAGTCTAGAAACCATGATATTTGTATAACAGATTTCTCTGCTTCAAATCAACTCCTGTGAAAACATGAGTATTGTTAACTTGTGTAATGAAAGTTGAGAGCAGACTTTTGGTTGCATGCCAGGCAGCAAAGCAGTTTACAGGATCACGTTTCACCAAGCAACACACATAGTAAAGAAACAAAATATTTTTCAAGTTTTTGATCTTTAAAAATTCTATTTAAATGATGTTTCTGTTACTACAATTTAGCAGCATCAAAGGGCAATCAAGATATAAATTTCTGAGGTTCCTCTCAGGTCTTGTGAGTCTTTCCATGCAATGTCGCGAAACATCAAAAGTCTTACTGCATCCATGCATAAGCTCCAAGATAAAGTAATGGCTCTGTTGTTACGTTTTTTTCTGCTTAGGCAAATGTGCCTTAATACTTCTCTTGTCTTGTGATTTTTTCATTCATCTTTTTATCAACTTTGGCATCTTTTCAGGATTGCATGTATGTACAAGTACTTATGCTCCTAAATTACTTGAGAAGGTTTGCAGGTGTCCTAGCCAGCAAGCAAGCTTGCTCTTATGCTAGGTGTATCCCTGACGTTTTTGCAGAGATGCCACCTGGAGGGAGTTTGTGCACCAAAGCAAATCAAGGTGCAAAATCAAGGCCTTAGAAGGGTACCCTGTGAATAGAGGTTTCTCTCTTGCAGTTCTCTCTTGCATGGCTTTTAGCATTTACAAAGTCATTCACATGGCTTGTCGCATAGTTGGTTAATTATTTTGTTTACGCCCTGTGAGAAATTATATAAAACTGACGTATAAAAACGTATAAAACTGACCTTGCAGACAATTAAAGTTCATCAGAAATCTTTGGCCTCTGGTCTCAAAGTTTATTGTTGTAACTAACTTCTGTCATAATTGTTCAAGAAATTAAAATTACAAATTAATGCAGAGAATGAAACATTGTCAATTTTATCTGAGGAGTGCCGCACATATTGTGCAGTACAAAACTAATTAGTAACAAAACGCCAAGTTGGATCTGATGTTTATACCAGATCACCTAGAATGAATAATACAGCTTACTGTCTGTGTATTTCACCTTAAAAGTTTGTGTGTAAGCTTTACCTCTTTTCTGGGATTTTAGGCTAAAGAAATCAAGGATGCAGTTTAGCTATAAAACAATCTCTTGTGGCTTATGACAACTCAAAATGCAATAATCTACTTCAACGGTTTTGATATCTGTTTGCATGCTAGTAACAGCCATTCAAACATTTGCAGCATCCTTTCAAACAGATTTCAGAGAATTTTTTTATGTCCTTTAATTTCTTAGATCCAACAGATATTTGCTAAATTCAGAGAATAGACGAAAATTGTAGACTGTTCACAGTCCCCTATTTTTCCGTGTGATCGTCGAGATCGAGCGCGTCTTACCATTAATGTCGGCCATCTTGATTTTTAGATGTACCGAGGGGGCGGGCGTCGGGGATTAGTTTTGATACTCATCCCCAGGTTAGACTCGGTACGACTGAAAATCAAGATGGCTGCCATTAATGGTAAGACGCGCTCGACCTCGACGATCTCACGGAAAAATAGGGGACTGTGAACAGTCTACGAAAAGTGCAGCTTAATGGACAAAACTTTAGAATGTTGAGAAGACTCACAGGAAAATACTCATAGGAAAATACTCCAATTTATTGCATGTCATCTGGCATTGTTGGTTTCATTGGTGAAATTTAATCCTGGTGAATTATTTTTTTATCTAGCACATGACCAAAAGTCTGTTCCAAGATTTTACAGCACAAAATATTTGAAATGTCAGAAATTCTGTTTTATGAACAACATTATTTCTAGCTCTTCATCAAGCCTTGATTTTCGTGAGTAGCATAGAAGGTGCGTTTCTCCGTGATTGTTTTCCACTGTACTTGGTCATCAATAGATGACAAACAATGAGAGTTCCATTAAATGAAAACATCTTTAAATCATTGTTTCCTCCACTTGTTAATTTTTGTTGGCGAAAACAACATAATTTGTACATGTACATGTTCAAATATTGTGAGTTTTTCATGACCCTCTGGAAAAATTATTCTACATTTCGGAAATGTTGGCCTTTTACTCCCCTTCCCTTTGGAAATTCCACTGACCATCCATGGGGGTAGTATGGATATTTTCTGGAATCACACATTTAATAGAAGCGGAAAGTCATTTACATATGGGTGGAACAAATATATCAGGAGCTGAGACAAGTTTAATGATAGGTGTTTATAGTTACACTCATTTTTGAAGATTAAGGAAAGTGTTTTAACATAACAGTGTTCAGTTAAAATTTAAAGTGGAAATGTGTTTGCAGTGACTTGCTCTTTATCTAGACAAAACGTACAGTGTAGGTACTTCATGTTGTGTCTTACAGGAAATAGGTTAAATCAAGTCTGTGAAATTCATCATGAAAAGTACAGGCCCCTGGGTGGAGATTTAAAGCTACACTTGATGATAGTATCCTTCCCCACCGTTGGGAAATTACATTGATAGGTGGCAGTCTATAGATATTAAAAAACTCTTCACATTCAGTCAGAAAAAACCGATGGGTGGAACATTTGCGAAAATCACAATCAAATTTTCCCGAAGGATGTCCTTTTTCAAGGAAACCTGGAGAAAGTGAAATGCTGTGTTTATGACATAGCCGCGATTCAAAAATTGCCCAAAATTATACCATTTTCAAACCCCTTGGGAAGAGAAGGAGGCGGGTAAGTAAGGCATCCCAGTTACAATACTGTTAAGCTGGACCCCAATACCCCTTTGCCCTTTGTCAGGTGAATTTGGAAAACTGTGCATACCTCTGGGAAATTCCCAGCTACAGAATATATTCATGTACATAAGAATGTGTTGTGTGGATTTGAAATGAATTAGAAAAAGTCATAAATTAAATTAGTTTATTTCCATTTTTATTTTAGAGTTGGCCCCTTCAGTAGCTACATATTATGGAAATCGCTCAGCAGCTTTCTTGATGCTGGTAAATTATGATAAAGCTTTGGAAGATGCACGTGCTGCCATTAAACTGGATGACAATTTTGTGAAGGTTAGTTAGGTGCATATTCTGAACCAACAGATAGTCAAGTCACAATTGAGGTCACATCATAAAAAAATTAAAAAATAAAAAAATAAAAAAAAAACGTTTTGTAGTTTTTTGAGGACCAGCTTTGGCATATTATGCGAGAAAAGTCATGTGATATTGGAAAACAGTAGATGAACATATGTAAAAATCCCACTAAAGAGCTGCGCATACATGTCACTTTGAATGTGATGTCATCATATGCATTGATATCTCCTGATACTTAAGTCATTAGCTTTTGTTCTGTTAAATTATGCTCAATTCAAATTTCGGTTTTTCTTTGTTTTGTTGCTAAGAGCTCACATCAGCTTCCCTTTAACTCAGCTTTGAGGAATTGATATGGCAGGTCCCTGGTGTAGAAAGCATGACTTGAAAATTAACTTAGCAGTCTGTGTGCTAGTCTTCATAATACTTCACTCTTGTGCAAATAATATTTGTTTGTGAAGGAAATGTGCTATGAAAATAGTGTTATCTCCAGATAAACTTTGGTGTGGTAATATAATTACCCTCACCCTAAACTCTACCCATATGCTTCCCTTACCCTCACGCTTGTTGTTTGTCCTTTGAGGGATAAAGATGACTATGACTTCACAATTCAGAGTAGTGGCTGTGGGTCCTTAGGGTCCTTAGATGGCTAGTGAGACCAAACTGACACTAGAAGGTTCACCCACACATAGGGCATGAGTGTGTGGGTGCTGCAGTGGAGGTGGAGGTTGCTCTGTCTTTGCATGTGGCACGTTTCCTCTGTGGTTCAGTGGTCTGTTGGTATTTGGCCGCATTGGCCCTAGTGGTGACTTTGCTGCGCCAAGCTGGACAATCCTGGGCAAGTGACTCCCAACTACTGGGGTTGATGTCCAAGTCTTTGAGGGCCTCTTTGAGGCAGTCTTTGAAACATTTTTTCTGTCCCCCAACTGAGCACTTCAGCCCACCAACCAAATGCCCTGTACAGTAGCTACTTTGGCAGACAGCTGTCAGGCATTCTGGTGACATGGCACTGCCATCTAACGTGGGTTTCTTTGGGAGGGTGTGAATACTGGGAATTCTGGCCCTTTCTATGAACTCCAAGTCTGGAATTTTGTCTTGCCATCTGATGTAGAGAAGTCCACAGAGGCACCTTAGGTGGAAATGATTGAGGTGCTTGGCATGTCTGCTGTAGATAGTACAGTCCAGGCCTAGCATGAGTAGCAGAGAGTGGCAAGTATTATTGCATGGTAGACCTTCAGCTTAGTGGAGAGGCTGATACTTCTTCACTCCCAGACATTCTCACACAGTCTTCCAAAGGCGACGTTGGCCTTAGCAATCCTGTTGTTGACATCGGCATTGACGCACACCACTCTTCAACGTGTTCTACGCCCCTTAACCATAATGTGTGGTTCCTGGTAAGGCTTTCCTGGTGCAGGCTGATATGTGGCTTCAGCCTTTTTGGTACTGAACATAAGGCCGAAGTTGTCACAGCCTTGCGATAAACAGTCCATTTTGTACTGCATCATAAATAAATAAATAAATAATAAAAATATTTATGTAGAGCCTATACTTTTCAGTGCTAAATGCTTTACAATGCTGTAAAAAGGTCCAGATAAAAAAATAAAAATTTTAGAATCATTAACATATGTGACCCCTCATTGGAAATTAAAAGGGGGCTTATGGATTTCACTAAAAACCATGAATTTTTTTTCATGGTCACGGTGCGTGAATTGAGTTTTCATGCCTGTTCACTCCATGTGAGAAATTTTCACTCTTAGCGTGAAACTAATCATGTTGAGAAAGATAAGTGAAGACCATCACGTTGTGCTTTTTTAACTGGTGTAAACTATCACCCCATGAAATTAAGAGTGGACCTGTGTCTTTTTTGTTTTTTCTCTCCCCTTCCTCTGCCTTTCTAACTCAGTAGAAAAAAGTGGCTGGTCACATCAAGCGAAATTTGTGGAAGTTGATATGCACATAATTATCTTTCTCTGAGAATATTCAAGCTGTTTTTAATGGCTTATGAAAAACAAAAAAGCATGCAGTCTATTCCACATTCAGGCCTGTAAAGCCACAAATTACAATCAACTCGTACATGTAGTTGCATAATCGGTGATTTTCTGGTTCATATTTTTATGTGTTCACTCTGGCCATTAAAAAATTTACGCAATCAGAATGTACAGCATGTTTCATGACTGCAACAGTCAGTGACTCTCATCCCTTTTTTTCCCGGCAACATGCAAATTTTCCCAAAGTCAAAGACACTTAGTGATTTACCACATATCGCAAGGTTTTCACTCAAGAAACCTAGCAAACTCTTTGCAGTAAGACTATTACTGGCATTCCTAAAACGGGGGTGTTGTCATCTGTGTCGGACGCGCATTGCATACATATTTGTCACCACGGAGGATAGCATTGGCATATAAAACTTCCTTGAAGAGATAAAAGCCCCAATATTCTGAAATTTAAATAATATTTTGGTTTTAAATTTAGAGAATACAGAGATGGAATCATGCAGTTGTTTATTATCTTCAGTGACTCACTTTTAAAGCAATTTCATTTTCTTTGTAGCGTGCGAACTAGAGCAAAAGAAACTGGATACTCTTGCAGACTATTTGTTTTGCTGAAAATCAAAAAGAAGATGTTACATTCATCTGGGCAAATAAGGCTTGCATGACATCTAAACAATACACTTTTGATATATTATTGTGGCAGAAAAACTGTTTTACAACACAAAAAAAACCCCTGTATTTGCGTGTTCAGAAGAAAAAGGCAGCAATTAGATAACATGCAGCTTTCAACACTGACTTTTATACACTCTTGCACTAAATCACTGAAATTTGCATTGTAGTTATAATTATAGAGTGATAAATTTAAAATAATAAATTACGGGAAAGTAAAATGCTTACTCTGTATGAGCGGATTTTCTCCATAGAGACATTAACTTTTTCATGGGGTCAAATATCTTCACAGCGTGAATTAAATTTCATGGTGTCACTGGAATATTTTCACAGTGTGAAATATTTTCATGGTGATTATTAACTTTTTCACTGCGTGAAATTTTCACCGTGGCAATCACTTTTTAATGGCGTGTTCACTTTGTGTTACAGAAATTTCACTCACATTCCAAAATTTTTCTTACTTTCACTGCCAAGACCATGAAATTAGGCAGTGCGTGAAATTTAGATAAGCCACCAAGTTGCGTGAAGTGTCACATATATAGTCACAAAATGCAAGATAAAAACCTAAGATTTGATGGTTTTGATGGTGCGTGAGGGGGTGTGTGTGCTTTCCTATGATAACACTTGCATGTCCTCTGCAGCATTCAAATGTTCAGATCATTCAGCCTCCGCACAGGTGGTGTTGTCACCCGCACACTTTAAGGGCTCATGTCCCTCTAAAGCATAAACGACCTCAAATGGAAGTTGAGTAAAATTTTCCCTGAAAGCAGCCTCGGAGAACTGTTTTTTGTACCTAATAACCTTGTATCTTGGAGTGATACGGATGACATGCGCATCGACTGTGACATGACACATGGTGTGTTATGATTGCTAACTAGTGGACTTGGGAGAACATCAGTATGTGTAATGCATTTAGCAGGGGATTCAATAAGCACCGACGGCCGACGAAACACGTCAGCTTCTTTGCTCATAGAGGTCGGCTACTTTTTTACAGAAAGAAGAAGCAACTAGTTTGAATAACGGTTTAAACAAAAAATAATTTATATCATAAAATCTGAATGAAAACGTAATTATGCTTTGTTTTTTGAAAGGCCCACTGGTTTTATGTTATGCTTTAGTCATGTGAACTCTATCTTTCAGTCATTTTTTCAAAAGTTTCTTACAGGTTTACACAGAATTTGTGTAAATGTGCAAAAGTACGTAATTTAGTTTTCATCATTTGTTCATTGCTCGTGGGAATTGATTGTGTAACTGGTAAATTGAAAGCTACATTTCCTTGAATGAAAAACATGCTCTTTTGTTCTCAAATTTAGTCCCCAGAATGCTGAAAATCGCATTTTTCTGGGGTGGAACGCAACGACCTCCCCCAGAAAAGGGGACCAACGGCCCCTTGTTGATACCATCGGTTACTCTAAAACCCCTGCATTTAGGAAGATTGTTAACAATGTGATCAATAAGTGTTTGACTGGACTTCGTAGTTCTTGTTACCGTGGTAACAGCTTGTTTCAGGTTGAGAGATTGAGGGATTTCAGTATACTTCTTGACATGTTTGTTGTTTGATCATACATGTAGCAATTACTGAATGAGGCTGAGTAGGATATGAAGAATTCTGCAGTTCGAGGAGTTTGGCCTCAGTGGATAACACCCTCCTAGATCTGCAGAATTCTTCATTTTCTGTGAAAGCTGAATTCAATAATTGTTTTCTTTATTAAGCTAAAACATGCTTACCTTGGTGGATGTTAAGTTCATATCGATAGTACATTTGTGTAGGGAAACGTAGGCGAAAAAGGATTGTTCAGGTCTACAAATATACTCCAAATAACAGGTGTCGTCTGTCAAGTTGTTTTTTTTGCTGTTTATCTTGCCATGTTTTTAGACAATATTTCGTCATAATACGAGTAAAAATGTTCCACTGACTGTTCTGCCATTTTGTTCTCACCACCAAAACTACTCAAACTCTTCACCAGGTTTTCTCGGTTAATGGTTCAATAATCTGCAACTTTGGCTGCACTTTTGACGTCATTGGCTCAATATGACAAAATTCTTCCAAATTTGGTCAACAGTAGCTAGTTATGATTAATTATGTGTGCTTTTAGCCAATCAGAAATGGAGAAATACTTCGAATGAATAATAATTAGCAATTATTGAATGAGGCTGAGTGTTATCTGAAGAATTGTGGAGATGAGGAGGGTGTTATCTCCCAAGGCTGCAAGGCCAGGACAAATAACACCCTCCGAGATCTTCATAATTGTGCAGATGATATGAAAGCTGAACTCAATAATTGTTTTATTATTCAGTCAAAACAATTCCTAGTGAAAACAAGCTAAAACATGCTTACCTCCATCAATGTTAAGTTCATCTCAATATTGCGTGTATATCAGGAAGTTTAAGAGATTAAGGATTGTTCAGGTCTGGAAATATACTCCAATTAGCAGATGTCGTCCGTCTCTTGTCTTGCTGTTCTTGCTACGTTTTTAGACAATATTTCGCCGTGAAACGAGTAAAATGAACTCTGCCAGTCTGCTTTCACTACCAAAACAACTCAATCTTGTCCCAAGGTCTTCTCAGTGCAACAGTCTGTCAATTTTGCTGCACGATTGACATCATCAGTTAAGTTCTATATCGCAAAATTCTTCCAAATTTGGGTAATAGTAGCTGGTTATGATGAATTACATGTATGCGTAGGATTTTAGCCAATCAGAAACTGCGAAATATTTAAATGAATAATAATGGTGTTTACATCATCTGCCAAAATTAGCATCCCATCCCATGAAGCGGCAACTTCGCTGAGGAGATCTTCAACTCTTTGTAACCAGTTGGAGAAGACTTTTAGCCCAATAGATGTACCAAACAGAATTTCTCTGTTCTTAAAAGGAAAAAATCAATCCACAAGTGTTCCAGTTCCACATAACCCCCTCAATATCTCTCTTTCACTTGAACTTGATACTCCCATACCTGCCCACTCTCCCGGTTTTCCCAGGAGTCTCCAAGTTTTTCATCAAATCTCCCGATATCCCGGTTAGAGCACCAAATCTCCCGGATAAAATGGACCTTTTGAGCATTTCTGTGCTTTAGTTTGAAATTTAGTCAATTTTTTCACAAAATTCGAACTTTTTTTATTCATTGTACAGTTTCTGGGACATTTTTGCACATGTTTAGTCAATGACAAAGATTAGTTCGTCATTACAATGATGAAAGTGCATTTTGATCCCATGTACATCATGTAAGACATCATGTAATGTCCTAAGGCAATTTTTTGGCAGGGGGGAGGGGGGAGTGGGGGTGTTGGTGCTGTTGACATTCGGGGGTTGGGGGATGTAGTGCAAAATGGAGAGTCCAGATTTTAGATCTCCTGAGGTTGGCAGGTATCTACTCCCTTTAACATAACTGCCTACGCCACCACCCCTCATTGTATCCCTGTGGTGAAAAGCATGACCATTACCTTGGAATAGTAACATGCTAGAGTACCAATTCATTGTCCCACAGCCAGGTATCACTCATGCTCACCACATTGAATGGGTATTATTTTAAAGTAAGTAGCAGCCCTTCGACCGTCGATATCATGCTGTGGGTATTTATATGCATGATTTTTAGTAGCCTGCTTTTTACTTTGGCAGAGCACGAAGTAAAGGATTCACAACACTCAGGAATGTATCAAAGTTGACTTTGTTTGACAAGATTGGGCACGCAAAGTCTGTAGGTTTTTGGTTTTATTCGGCTATTTGACGAAGTGAGAGCAGAATTAGTTTGAGATATATCAAGATCACTTCAATTTCTTTGATTTATTCTTTAACTTTTTCAAGGAAGAAAGAATTATTATTTTGGCTTTCTTGGGGTTTGAACCGACTCACCTGTGTGACCTTTCAGATTAGAGGAGACTCTAAGTTGAGGGACTGGCGAATGCCCTCCTGCGACCCAAGGTAGTTCAGGATATGAAAATAGTTATGAAATGATGCACTAGTTTCGGGACAAGATTGAACATGCAAGCTCGTGACTTTTCGGCTTGGTTTGGCTTTTTCACGAAATGAGACCGGACTACTTTGTGATAAATTATCTTGAGATCACTTCGAGTTTATTCTTTAATTTACAAGAGGAATAAATAAAGGATATTACGTGGCCATGCAGAGACACCAAAAATGTCTCTTTGAGTGTTGAAAAACATTTCATGAGTCAGCCCTCCTTTCGAACTGTTTTATGATGATAATTTAAAGTTACGAGATGCAACACAAAGGCATTTTGTCGTTGTTGAGTGTTACGTAGTAAAATTGCTTTCATGCGTTGCGTGACTTTCTCGAACGTTCTCTACTTTTTTGGATTATTCAAGAATAATTAATTAGGGCATGTTTACATTTCTGCATGAGCCAGCAGATTTGCATCAGTTACTGAAATCATAAAATATGTTGAAAAGCTACTACTATTCAGTACTATGGGTAAGACCAAAATGTCAGGTACAGATGCAACGTTTCTGGTTTTTAGCCACTGTGCTCTTTCACATTGTGTGCATTAAGGAGCAGTTTGTTTGTTTTGTTTTGGTGACCTGTTAGCAGATACAACCAGGTTTGTCTGGATGTCTCCCCACATTAGGAGTAGAGAAAACGTTGCGCAAGGGTTGCTATAATAAAGAACTCTGCTGGAAGTCCACCGTCTCCTGTTGGATGCTCACACAAATGCAAATCGAGTTCGTAAAGGAGCCAACACTGGTTCTTTTATTTGATTGTCTTTGCCACTAGATCCGGTCTTGGTTTTGGGAGCTTTAATTTTCTCTTGGCGTCGCGAAAATGGTAATTTGGTGTTGTTGTTGCAAACAAATTACAGAGATAAGCTAGCTGGGGCGAGATAATTTTTGCACTTGCACATTAAATTAGCCTTTTGTTTAGCCCTTCTAACCGATAAATTATCCCAACCAAGCGAGTTAAGAAGATATCTGGAACTCGTATCATAGCTAGATTTAGTGGTAACTCTGATAGCATGATTTTGAAGTTTTTGAAGTTTTTCACCAAGCGGTTACAATGTTCTTTACAATACAATACAATGTTCTTTATTTTGAGAGGGTAGATATACATGATTAACCCAGTTAAGAGTTTTCTAACACATGGCCCTCTAAAACTAAAAGAAATATATACAAATAAATTTCAAAAATACACACATACAATAATTAATTGAATGTAACATTTAAAATGAAATTAAAATTAACACAATATAAAAGTTTAATTAACATAGTTACAAACAATATATCGCAGCAAACTTGGAGCGATTAGGAGAAATAGCAATTGCAGTAAAGCAGGAAACGGCATGCAAAACAGCAAAGTTCTTCGAGATGGGCAACGGAATTGAGTTTTTGAATGAAAAGTTCACGTAGCTTGCGCTTAAAAAAGGAGAAAGAAATCAGAGCATTAGGCGAGACTAGAGGAGTTCTTACAAGCTGTTTGATCTCAAGGGTAGTGCATTAAAAAGAATAGCAGCTGTAAAGGAGAACATGCACTTGCCAGAGTTTGTTCGGGGCTGAGGGACCACTAAGTTTCCTGATGCGGCACCCTGGTCATATGAGCACTGTTTGCAGATACAAAGGAGAATTCATAGAGGGGCTTCAGGATTAAGAAAAATAGAAGATAGCAACTGGAGTTTTTATACTTAATAATGTCACAAACAGGGATCCAGATGAAAATACTTTTTAGAGGCATTTCAGGAATGTGGGCCTTTCATCCCCACAGATGCAGAAAAGTGTAGCTGGATGGATTGTATTGTGGGATGATACTTTTTAGCTGAATGTGGGACACTGAGAGATGAAGATGTCTTAATGTGAACTGGATGGGACAGTCTGGAAACAATGTACAAACTGTGATTAACGGAGTTTGTCTTCAAGTGTTTAAAAGGTTACAATGTCACAGAATTTAAAGATTTGTTTTTACAGAGGAATTCAGGCCTCAGAAGAAATGAGAACATCATCCTTCCAAGACCAGAAACAAATTTTATCAGGAACTCCATACGCTTTAGAGGAGCAATCGCATCGAACACTTTAACAAACAAGGAAACAAGGGCCAAACCTTGAAAGAATTTAAACACTGTCTTGCAAAATTTGATACTGAGAAAATGAATTTTGAAGCAATTTGAACAACTGAAAATACAGATATCGGTTACAAATACTTTTAACAGTTTTAATTTTCAATTGTACATTTTCACAACCTTTTTTAGCTACAACTAACACTGAAATATCGGTTACAAACATTTTTAACAGTTTTTAATTTTTAATCGTACATTTGCTTTCAGACATTTGCTTTCAGTACTCCTTATTTTTCTTGTAATTGTTGTATGCATGACCCCACCAGCAATGCTGATCTTTTTATCGTGCTAATATAAAGTTCTTATCTTATCTTATCTTATCTTATCTTATCTAGATTTTCATCTATGATAAGCCCTAGAGATTTGCTTTGATTGCCTTGGATTGTTGGAATGCCGTCTATATGAATGTTCATTGTATAGTCATTTAAGCCTCGAGCTAATAACCATAAACTCTGTTTTGGTGACATTATTGAGACTTAACTTTATAAGCCTTGAGCCAGCTATCAATATATATTATACTATTCAATACTATTGATTTAGGATCCAGGATCAGGTATAGTAGCTGCAGAAAAGGTAATATTAGTGTTGTCAGCATACATTCTAGGAGACCCAGCATTCAAACAATTTGGTAGTCATTTATATATATAGATCAAGAAAAGAAGAGGGCTGATTATTGACGCTCATGAGGTACGCCACAATTTAGAGGGCTCGTATTAGATAGATAATTGTTTACATTACACCTTTGTATACGGTTAACTAGTAAGGTAAGATTTTAACCATTTCACCTGGTATCTTGATCAATGCCAAACTTAGTAAGTTTTTTTAGAATTATGTCTTGGTCAATTAAGTGTCAAAGGCCTTCAAATCAATAAAAATTACACTATTAAGAAGACCCCTATCAATGTTGACACACCAGCTATTGTTTGTCTCCAACAAGGCAGTAATTAAAGAGTGCTGGGTAACGAGCCGAAACCAGACTGGCTGCTGTTTAATGAACCATTTTCATTCAGACAGTGATATAGTTGGTCATAGATAATCTTTTCGAAAATTTTGGCTACATTAGGAATAACAGATGTAGGTTGATAGTTGTTTAGGTCAGACTTAGATGCTGTTTACATGGAGTGGGGGACCCCGGTCTAGTGGGGTAAGTTTCTTTTGTTTTGTGTCCCCCAGAGCGTGAAAACAAAAGAAACCAACCCCACTAGACTGGGGTCCCCTACTCCATGTAAACAGGGTCTTAGAACCACTCTTAAAAATTTGTGACACTTTAACCAGTTTCCAGTCAGAGCGGAAAATACCAGTCACTAACGATTGGTTATTAAAAGGTGCCAGTTAAAGAGGGCGCGACAACATCGGTAGCAATCTTCAGAAGCCTGTTTGGAATTTTGTCAAGACCAGATGCCCTACCTAAGTCAATAGCTTTAAGTAATTTGATGGCTTTTTGAACAAAGGAAAGTGGGTCACTTTCTAAACTAGGAATTTCTAGTGCGGGGGATTGGCCAGTGCTTGTAAAATGGTTGTTAAATGCTTCAGCAATATCACCAGGTGAGGTGAAAACTTGGTTTCCTGTTTTGACTTGAGACACTTTGGTTGATTTACTTTGCCAAGGTTGGAGTTCATTAATTAAACGACAGGTTTTATGGGAATCACTTTTGTTTGCATCAAAGTTTTTAGAAAAGTATTTACGTTTAGCTTTCTTCACTGAGTTATTGGCCTTATTTCTTGTATCTTTAAACTGCTTCAAAATCAATGGGTCATTTGTAGATGCAGCTTTCTTTTTTAGAAAATCTTTTTCATGCATTTCACGCAACAGTTCATTAGTAATCCAGGGAGAGTGTTTGTTTCTAACCCTTTTTTTCTCAGTGGTGCATATTTATCAATAGCACTCGTGAACAGGTGTTTCCAAATGTCCAACATTTCATTTGGGTCATTGTGCGTGGTAACTCAGTTCCAGTCAACCATGCCAAGATCTCGCAAAAATTCAGTTTCATTAAAATTCTTGAGCTGTCGAACTCAACAGTTTTATGCATATTAGATCGAAGATGAGTAACTTTGCATTTAAGATTAATAGCAGGGTGATCACTTAGTACACCAGTATTAATAACGCCTGACTTTGATATCTTATAAGGAATTTTTCAGACATAAATTGATCAGGTTACTTGAATAATGCATGACTCGAGTTGATTCTGTAATAAGTTGAGTCAGACCATAAAATTAATATTGATAATATTTAAGAGGTATGTGAGAAGAGTTGTTACTGACAACCTCTGATAATAAATAACAATAATTGTTATTTATTATCAGAGGTCTTCAGTTATTTAAGTCATCCATAAGATATGGCTCCAGGTTTTCAGCATCAGTTCTATCAATAATTCAGTCAAAGGTTAAAAAGAGGTCAGGAGGTGACGTGGTTTGTACCAGGTAGACACAAGGAAAGGCTTTGAGCAGGGTTTAGTGGTTTCGATAGCGAGACATTCAAGATTACTCAGACTAAGATCAGCACGAAGCTGAAAATAATATTATTGCTATTACTATGAACACAAATGCAAATACCACCACCATTTCTGCCATTGCTCTGGCTGTCTTTGCGAATTACATCACAACCTGGTAGATGTACTTTGCTGTCTTTGATGGTTTCATTTATAGCTAGGATATCAATATCTTTGAACTGACTCATAAATACGTGTAATAGATTGATGTGAGAAACTGAATTATTTATCATAAAGGATATTAATCATCGTGGATAATGTGTATAAAGGCTTTATGTTTAAACAACCTATGACCAAGTCACAACCTAAAACTGTCTTACCATATTTTGCATTTTGCGTGGAACTGCAATTTGAAGATATTGGCAAACTGTAGATATTGGTGGGTCAGGAATATGATCGTACTCCCAAACTACTTTTATAGATGCAGACTATGCTGGCATCTTCGAACTGTTGTGGGACTGGAATACATCTGTTAATTCTTGCATCATGGTTGCACCACCTTTTCTGTACACTTCAGCAGGGATTGCACCTTTTGGACTTTTCTGTGGGCAGCTTGTCAAGATCCTGATTGTTGTCCACTTGACACTCAGTATCACCCTTACAATCACTCTCACCTTTACACTCAATCTCATCCTTACACTCACTCACTGTAACTTTTACACTCACTCTCACCCCGACCCTGACCCTCAACATCACCCTCACCCTTGTCCGTAATTAATTCCAAAGTGGTTCATTTCCTATTGATATTGGCCTATTTTCAAGGTTGTTAAGTCTTAACTGTATATCTAACCCCACGAAAATCATCCCAAATATCAAGGCTTGGTAACACTCTCATAAATTTTCTGTCAATTTTGTTGACATTCATTTTGGGTCTGGCACTCATAAGTTTAGGCATGCAGGCTGATAGCATGGTGCATGGCCTGCTTTATTTACATGACAAAGGTTTGACTTTCTGAAGGGCACCCCTAACATGAGAAAGGCACTCTTAAAAGTTTTTAGCCTCTGTGCATATTTACAGTAGTCAGAGCACGTACTAAACGAATGCAAGAGTAGTTTTTAATAAATACACACATACCATTAAAAAAGAAAGTGCTTGACACAAATGAAGGCAAAATAAATGAGAGCATCATATAAACCAACAACTAGTGTGACCTCCTGTAAACTGAGAGTTATGGACAAATACCAATTCTTTCAATTGCTTGATGACTTCTGGTATTCAACTTTAGAGTAAACAAAAGAACATTTGTATATACTGTCCATGAATTTTCTGATGGTGTTGTCTCGTGACCAATGCGAAATACTGCCTGGTACTACAAATCATCGATTGTACTTTTATTACTTGTAGTTTTGACAGCAAAATAGAGAACCACTTTGTTCTTCTATGTGGGATATCCTCTTTGCTTCTTTGTTTCTTTATATAGTGGAGACTCCCTGAATGGACACCCAAAGGGAGAAAAAAAACTGTCCGCAACTGGATTTTGAGAGTCAAAATTGGATCTCGGTGAAGAGCGGCCGTAGGTAGAGCTGTGTGCTCACAGAAGTGTACTAGTCGCTTCACTGAGTTCTGCATCAGGGCAAGAAATGACTTTTTTCTGTATTAAACTATCTGTTTGAAAATGCAAGATATCGCCTACATTGAGTGTTCCATTATTCTAAGAGGTTCCAAAATTGTCAGTAACATTTGCATGATCTTTGGAAGCTAGATTGTTCCCCTTTGGCTTTTATTCTAACATATTCCATTTGAAAAACAGCAATGGAAAGAGATATCAGCCGAAAAGTTGTCAGAAACACAAACCATGATGATAATGATAGTAAATACTATCTCAGATTTTAATAATAATTATAATAATAGTGGTTCTTATTACTCATTTTGCTTATGCCTCAATGCGTTTAACATCTAAAATGTCACTAATTTCAGAATGTTCAGAATTCTTCGGGAATATAATTACTGCATAAAGACCTAATAATTATTGCACCAACATAGCCAAAAACAGGTTTTTGGTTCGTATCTATTCAGTAGTTTTGTTACTTAATCAAAGAGAAAAGCATGATTTATAGATCAGCAAAGAAGTAAAGGAAGGCAAAAACAAGTGTTTGTGCATTGAACTTTGGCGATCATTGAAGACTCCAAAGAATATTGTTTTGGTGTCCTGGCCACTTTTAAGTGGGTGAAAGGTGGTCCTGGCTGGCCTAAATGTTTTGGCACAGGTGCCAAGTAAGTCTGCATTTACAGGGCAAAAAGTCAGGTGGGCTGTGCTAAAACTAATGGACCATATACCCATGTTTAGGAGCTAGTGCTGAAATGGAGGACTGCTGGCTAGCTGTGTCTTGTGTTTAACTAGGTATAAATTTTACTTATATCCACATACACTGTATCAACTTAAGTGTGCATAATTTAAATCTTAAGCCCTTGCTTACATCTCACCGCTTGGAAACTTTTGTTTAGGGTTATTACAGGGCTGCTAAGTGCCACTTGGTGATGGGATCCATTACAAATGCAGCAAACTATCTACAGAAGGTGATTGAAAAGGATCCTAAGAATAAGGATGCTCAAAATGATGTAAGTAACATAACATAACATTATTACCTTTGTGTGGTGCTTGTCACTAATTGAAGCTATGTAGCTACAATGTAATTCGTATTGTAGTAGTGCACTGTTCACGTATGAAGCGTTGTACTTATTAACTATGTTAATAAGTACAAAACCGCTGTCAGTTTATATTATTATCAGGCTCCTCATATTATAAACCTATATACAAGTTTGCTGACCCAAAAAATTCCAAAGGCTTTAAAGTGTAGGGAAGTGTGGGGTGGGTTCTCAATCATCATGCATTACCTCTACGCAGCCATTGTGTCATCACACAATGCGCTGACACAAAAAAGGCTGCGCTCGGAGACTACTTCCTCCCTACCTCTCCTCCCATTCGCTTTGAATAAAAAAGTTACTTCTTCACTAGACTAAACCAAAACCCATTACATTGGTATGGAATTCGGGAAACCTTTAACAGGTTTATCATGTGTCATGAGGAGCTCATAATGCTAAAAATATTTACAAGTTATTGACACAGTTTGGTCCATATAGGGTATTAAAATTCGTTTAGACCTCTGGTAAAATTCCTCTTCAATAATTTGGGGTGGTTCACAGGGATAGTCCATTGACCGGGTCCATGCAGGGGTCCATGGCCTAGGTCCACAGGGGTGGTCCAAGTGTTTTGAATGCGTCTCATTTAGATAACAGCATAAATAACCTGAGTATCAGGCCTTCCTAAGGGGCTAGGGAAGAGGAGATTTTAGATGGGGAAGGGGGGAGGGGGAGAAGAGAAAGGAAGGCTCTCTCCTTCAGCTATCTCCCTTTTTCGTAAATTATTTTTGTATGTAATACTAGAATGGGTGATAAACGTGAAACGACTATTTTCCCCCTAGAGAATTATCACTTATTTAAGGAAGGCAATTTAGACATGCATGAAGTTTGTTTCTGTCGTTGACAAATTAATCTAACACAGCAGCTTTTTTCCTTCAGCTGCGTACTACGCGCATGGTTCAAGAGTACGAGTCATCAGCTTTTCAAGCACATGATAAAGGGGATTATAGAAAGGTACAGTAGTACGTGATGTTGTCATAAGCAGCAGTACCACCCCATGCATGCCTAGTAAAGACAACTCTCTAACTGTTCTTTGCAGCAGGAGAATTGAACCAATCACAATGCTCTTTATTTCTAAGTTGAGGTTGAGCCTCCTGCTGTTATTTGCAACTTGAAAAATCTTGCTAGTCAATTCTGGCCCCAGTTGTTCAAACGCTGGTAGCGCTTTCCACCGGACAATTACTATCCAACAGATAAATTCAGGAAAACTTATTGCACCATTCACCAGATAGAGATTAATCCAGTCGATAACGTTTTCCACCATTTGAACAGCTGGGGCTTGATTACAACTCTAAGTCCGTTACTAGTGAAGACCATACCCCTAGAATTTTTCTTTTGTTCATGATGCTAAGTTACAGCGTCTGAAGTTCCAGCGATTGCTGGAGAGTGGTTTCCATATGATCGCTGACCTTTTTTTCAGCGATCGTAGCGAGTAAACCTTACAAACAACTTATTGACGGACTCCAGCAAAACTGACGGTAGGGAGAGGAAGCAACGATAATGGCAGCAAGAAAGGCAAAAAAGGAATAGGTTAAGATTAGCAAAACAACAACTTTGCACGTGCGTCACGCTTCTTTGTACATTTCTTTGCCGTCGTTGCACGACTACCACTTGAAACTTTATTGTTGGCTACGCACTAGAAGCTAAGTTAGTCTGACGTAAGCACTTGATTCAGGTGCATTTGAAAATCATAAGCCGCCCTGTAGAAAACATGTCTTCACATTTGTTGGCAAAGTTTATTACTTAAAGTACAAGGGCGTGGGTTCGAATTACTGCAGAATCCCGGATGTTTGTTTGGTGAAAAAAAGACAAACAAACAAGAGAAAGGCAATCGAGACAGTAAGAGGCTATAAAAGTTCAAAGTAAGTTTATAGAGCGGCCGTCAAATTAGTGTTGTTGTCAGTGTGGTTCTCCAATACTTTATTTCAAACTAGTGCTTATCCTTGGGTCCATTTGACGCGGCGACGTAAATTTTATGCAGCATATTTTTCCAAATTGCGGAAATTCCGCAAGGTCGCGCTCTAGAATAAACCTTGCGAATGTTTCCTTGGTCACCAAGTAAAGTTGAAGTAGATACATTTTACCCCTTCATACTCAAAGTAGGTTCCAAGTACACTTAGATTATTCTTGAAAGCTCTAATGTGAAGCAAAGTCCTGATAATGTTGAATAGTCCGAGATAGCGAACCAATCAGATTGCTTAAATCACCAAAATCACTGAGTGTGTATATACTACACGTTTTATGGAGGACGTGGACACGAGAAAACAATTTTGTTTTTCTTCTCCTGAACTTAGATAAAGTGCTTTAGAACGAGTCAGCTCCAGAAAGATTTCTCAACATTTGACAAATTGGACGAGATGGAATAAGAGCGATTAAATTCGAAATAGCGCGAATTCACTTTTTAAATAACGTTTTCTCCGCCGTCGTGGTTGCTTAAGCTTGCTAATGGCCGTTTTCACACTAGAGACGGATTATCCGTTGGATAATTCGCGCCAGACAGATATTACGACTTAATTTGAAAATGGAACGGTTTTAATTTGTGATGAACAATCCGCATGACTTTGTCCATCTATTCATCCGTCAATTTTGACGGATTTTGAAAATGGATTATCCGTCTGTTGTGTGAAAGCGGTCAATGATAGAATGACTGGACAACTGACAATTTGACTACCAACAAAGCAAGCGTTATAACTGTGACAAAGTATTTATAGATTTAGCCAATAACATCACAGCATTACATTGACCAATCAGTTCAATAACCAATGTTATCAGTTAAATGTGATCAACTCTCTTTGAGTCTGAAGATGAACCGCACAGATTGTCAAAACGTCAGTAACTGTCAACAGGGTACTCCTGGGAATTCTTGGTGGGGGTGTGCCGCCCGGTTCTCCGAATCCTGACTCAATTTCAGACCAAAAAATGTAATTTTCCACACCCGTTTGCAGACCAGACCTCAAAAATCCATACCCATTTTCAGACCTGGCCTTTAGGCAGAAATTATGTTAAAAAAAATTCTTCAAATCCATTTCGAATTCGCATATTTCTCTTTTTTTTCTTACTCATTTGGAATTGAAACGTTATGGTACGTTTTAAGACCAAAATGGCGCAAAAACCTACCCGATGGGGCGGCACATACCTATATTATAGCTTATCTAAGGGAGTCCCCCCCCCCGGTCAGTACTACACTAACCTGGACGGTCATGTTCTGAATCTGGTACTTCCCTAGTGGATGTTAATGCAGGTCTAGATAATGATAATAATACAGTTAGTAGAAGTCAACTAGTTTCAATTAGTTTTTAATACTTAACAGGCTTAAACTTCATTTTATGACTTTAGAAAAATTACATTCAAAAGACTCTTTCTCTTTTTTAGGTTGTTTTCTGTATGAATCATATTCTTGAAGTTTGTCCAGCATGTAATCTGTACAAAGTAATGAGAGCAGAAGCATATTGCTTGATGGGCAAATACAGTGATGCCTTAACGGATGTACAGTAAGTGATATTGTTGCGAGTGATTTAGGGTAAATCAAGCCAAAAAGGCTATGTCCAAGCCAAAGGATTACAAACACATAAAACTGTACTGTATCCACCGGATATCCCAGAAAATAAGCCGTGTAATGCCTCTACTACATGTATGTACATGTACCGTGCCTCCCCACAGCACTTACTTATGGCTCTCATTACAGAGACCGCTTGATCGTAGTAATGGTCTCTAGTTGACATGTATTTGTAACTTCTCTATATTACTATATTCAGCTACATTAATTACAAAAGTACAGTTAATTTTGATCTTAAGAGAGAAGGGTATCTTCCCTTTCTATAAGAATTCATTGTAGCTTGACCACACCAGGAATATTCATAATATTTCCTTGCCCACTTTTAATAATTAAATTATTACTTTAAGTGACAGCTAGGTCTCTGCTTCAAGTCTGCTAATCTATTAGAAGCTGTAGAGTAAAAAGTTTAATGTCAAGAATACTAAATGCGTCTCTAATTATTCATTTTTAGGAATTTCAACAATGCTTTTATTTCCGCTTTTGAGTGATCTGTCAATGTCTAAATGCAGCTTCATTCATTCTGGGTTTTAGTTGTTGGTGCAGGTTCAACTAAAGATGTTAAGATTTTTTACGGCTAGGGTTCAAAATACTGGGCAAGGATAAGTCTCATCTAAATACCTGCAAATTAGACTCTCCACTTCATTTATACAATAACATTGTCTGGAACAAAGGATCGTAAGTTGACATTGTTGCCAAGCTTTTCTTGATGTGATACTTTTTTGGTACCTAAATTCGGGTTGTGGTAATTTGTGAGATGCTAAATGATCCAATTAAGACTCCTATAGTGTCTGTAATAAATGTTTTTTTATGTACAGTATACTGATTGTCTTATTCTTTCCCTAGGAATATACTGAGAAATGACTCTATCAATTCAGATGCTCTGTATGTCAAAGGACTTTGTCTTTATTATCAGGTACATACCACCTATTAACCATGGGCGAGGTCATTACAGGGAAATCTGACTGAGCGATAGCGAGGTCAACACATCAAGGTCTAGGTCTGAGATTTCCCTGCAATGACCAAACGGACGAGGTTAATAAGTTATTTCTTATATGGCCTTTTCATTATGGACCTGAGCCTGCGATCACTTAAATTACTGGTCAGCAAATAGCTTTAACAAAAAAATCATGACAGTAGTCAGTGGATGCCCTTTTTGACAGCTGCCAATTGACCATGACAGGGATGTCCATAAGGACGTCCACTATCAACTTAAACACAGATTATGTATGCCTTGGACACCTAGCTAGTAATGCCTGGTCATTACAGGAAAATAATGTCCGCTTAGCAGCCAATCAGAGCGCACGTACTATTGTAGCCATATAATAATTAGCAATTATTTTTTTCGGCTTTCGTAGGATATGAAGAATTCTGCAGATCGAGGAGGGTGTTATCCAACGAGGCCGCACTCTCCTCTATCTGCAGAGTTCTTCATACCCTACGAAAGCCGAATAAAATAATTCCAAGTTTAAAAACAAGCTAAAACATGCTAACTTTGGTCGATGTAAGTTCATATCCATAATGCATCTTTATCGGGGAGTTTAGGAGAAAAAAGAAAGGTCTGTTCAGATCTGCAAATATACTCCAGATAGCAGATGTCGTCCGTCTTCATGCTGTTTTTGCCATGTGTAGTCCATGACAATATTTCGCCGTGAAACGAGTAAAATGTTCCGCCGACTGTTCAGTCATTTTCAGTCAAAGCAACTGAACCTCGTCCCAAGGTTTTCTCGGTTAACGGTTCAATAACCTGCAACCAGGCTGCACATTTGATGTCATTTTGACGTCATCGGTGCAATATGATAAAATTCTTGCCAAATTTGGTCAACAGTAGCTGGTTATGGAGAATTATGCGTGTGGTTTTAACCAATCAGAAACGGGTAAATATTTTGAATGAATAATAAAAAACATTAATGTATTTCACAATTCAATGTTATATTCCCCAAATCTCTGATACCAACTCGCTAAGTTTCCTTTGCCAAGAAAGGTATTCGAACATGTAGAACGAAAAAATCTAGTCTCTCCATACCTGCTGTTTAACCTCCTATCAGATTACAACGGCCCCTTTTTTTCGTCCTGGCTGATACAAAATCCATACATAGACTCTTGTTTAAAACCTTTCTACAACGGCCACTTTGTTTTGTCCCCAAGGTGGCCGTTGTGGAGAGGTTCAACTGTATTATTATTGCCTATAGTTATGACGTTTAAAATTACTGAAATGATTTTTTAAAGTACTGAAATTAATAAGAATTGTGGTGATCTTCTCTGCATTTACTTCTAAAATTACTGGTGAACACTCGCTTATTTACTACTTATGCCTTGGTTATGTTATAAATTATTGCTGATCACCTCATGAAGCCAGTTAAGTTTGTTTTCCTTTAGCAAAAAAAAGAAAACTAGAAACTTTCTTCCTTAGAACCAGTCATTAAGTTTATTTTAAATTTCGATTAATCCTGCGGAAGTAAACCCACTTCCAAGCAATGCGGGCTAGTTTTTACTACTTTTTAGTCATAATAAAGTGTGCTCGTTTAAATAAAAGGACTTCAGTTAGTTTTAAAAGATTTTGAGAGCCCGTTTTTACAATTCCGTTTCAGGATTTTGTTGATAAAGCTTACCAGCATTTTAACATAGTTCTAAGGAATGATCCCGATCATAAGAAAGCCAGAATTGCTTTGAAGGTACAGTATCGTTTGGTTTTTGTATTTGATAATCAGCAGCATATTCAAAAATTAATTACCAAACTCGAAGGAGAGTAGAAAGGTTAGGTCAGAACTATTAATAATTATACGTGAAGACATAAAATTCTATCTTTAAGTGACCTTTGTCTAATCCGCTATCAAAGGTTGCTGCTGAGGGTGGTTTCCAAGGCCCCTGAACGCAGCTGAATAAACATTACACTATACAATACAAGAAACTTTAATGACACTCCCTACAGAGGGCTTTTCAGTGACAACAATGATTAATTTACAAGGTACTACGTCAGAACGATAGTAAATCTACAATTAAGCAACAGGAAACGTTTTCCGTGTTTGCATAGCCTGGTATAAACACGAGAGGGGTTGGGAGAATTCGAGACAGTTATGCAAACCCGAGACGAAGTCGAGGGTTTGCATAACTGTCGAGAATTCTCCCAACCCCTCTAGTGTTCATATCAGGCTATGCAAACACAGGAAAAAAGTTCTCTATTGCTTTTATAAAATAACTTTCCCGAGAAAAACGTAAAACTCTTTGTAACGGAACTGATTAAAAGAGAAATTCTTACCAGTTGCAAAGTCGTGTACACGAAGGCTTTCGCGCGTAATCAGTTCTTGTTTTGCAAAAAGATGCTTTCCAAAATACGAATTTTTCTCGCTTAAAATGTCAGCTTAAGCGAAAACAAAATTGACACAGCTTGTTTGATAAGATTTTTCAAGTTTCAGCCGACGAAGGAATGGGTAAATAAAGTAAACTTGTCGAGTTTTGAACTCAAAAATTTTTTCAAATTTGTGCCTGCGTGATTAGCGCGCGAAAAGCAAAACATCTTGACGTCACAACCATGTTTACATACTCTCATGCAAACGCTTCTCTCGGCCAATCAGAGCGCACGTACTATCTTAGTTATTGTGTAAATTACAATGACACCGGCATTGGTTTATGTAAAGAGAGTAAGAAGACTTAAAAAATAGTCGCTAGAAATTACAAGATCAATACTTTATATAAAGAGTGAATGGGGAAGTTTGCAACGCAAAATTAAAACAGACCCTACGATTATAAGCTTAGACCGACAAGAAGTTTACGCTTAAAATTAAGAACAGAGTTGCAAAGTTTAAAGGAATTTTCCAAACTGTTTTACAGGCATACTATACGGTAATAGAATGTCCTTTGTCGAGATCTCGATTTAAGTAAGGGGATTTGCAAAAGTTAAGAGCTTCTAGTCAAACGACCGCTTACTTCACCACGTGTTAGAAACTTCGATGAGAGGTAAGTGGGAGCGGAGCCAGTCATACACTTGAAAGCAAGCACGGCGTCGCGGAGATATAGCTGTGATTTAACAAGGAGCCAGCGCAGCCAGCGCAGTTCTTTCAACAGCAGAGTAACGTGGTCAAGTTTTCTGGAACCACAGATAGTTGGAGCTTGATGAACCAAGCCGTGTCCGCTGCATTGGACCAGACGGAAGAGCAATAAAAAACTTACTAAACACCAAAGTGTTAGTTATTGTGGTTAAAGTCGATATGTCAGACATGTGTTTGACACGACTGATTTTAGGTAAACTTGAGAAGCAGGAAGAAACAGTTTTAACGTAGTTCTTTTCCTAAAAAGGAGAAACGCATATCTGGGAGATTTTGTAACCTTTGCCGACTTCCATAAACAATAACCTTAGTTTTATCAGGATTCAGGAGAAGACGATTTTGGAAACACCAGTTTCGAATATGTAGGAGGTCCACGTTCAAATCAGCAACAGCCTTAGCCCAGTCGTGTACACTACAACGTTAAATCAATTATTCTTTGTAAAACATGTCACTTAATACAGACATCTTCTATCAACACTTCAGTGCCACTATTAACAGAGTTCAACCCCATGTAGAAACCCAGCAACTACCTCACAAACTACACCCATCATCTTAACAATCAACTTCCAATATAACTCCACGCCTACTACTTCACACATCTCAACTAACTCCTCAAATATTGAATACCACTGCACTACCCACATATCCCTCATAACAAACTTCTCAGACGCTTAGTAGAACCACGCCCAAATATACGCTCCCACAGCGTCTTTTTGATAATCCTCTGTTGCATGTATGGGCCATTAATACTACAGTCGGGACCTGGCTAAATCGACTTCTCGCTCGACACCAGGGTGGCCCATCTCAGTTGTGTAACTCCCGCTAAACGAATTCTTTAAATTTGGGGGTAGGCCTTATTGAGTTCGATTCCTGGTCTTCTGCAACAGAGTTCTATCTGCGAAGTTGCGAAGGTTATTCCATTTTCTCATATAACAGGACAGTGTATTACTCCTGCTCGTTAAGTTTGTATGTTTAGGGAGATACCTTTGATGCTTGTACAGCGTGACTTTTGAAATAATTGGGTCTTCCCTCTGGGCTTGTTGTATTTGTCCTGTCGTTACTTGCTTTAAGGTCAGGTCTGTAGCAATGGGTTCTTTGCGGGCAATATCCGTATTCGCTGAAATTGCAACTACCCATGGCGTCCCTTCTTCTATCTGTTGTGTTACTGTTCGACAATTTATGGTTGCATCGAACACCTCCTTTTCCATTACTGCCGTACACCTTACTTTTTGGAATCCTTTGGTAGGCAGGAAAGAAAGTCTGTGCATGTCTGTGTTCTGTTCTGCGAATTAAGCCACACAACCATGTCCAGCGTCAGATAGTTTCGTGGTCGTTTTAGGTCATTTCTGACAGGCGTGAAAACAGCAAATTTGACCACGCAATTTTTTGAAAACAAAATTTCTCCGCTGGTATTTACCCTAGCACAGAACGTTTAATATACCTGGTTTTAAACGCTGTAAAGTGCACTTTCGAAAATAAAATACATTTGCCCTCTAGAAGCCCAGAATATTTCATTAATATTTTTTTGAATAAATTTATGAGGTATACATTCTCATAATGTTAGCGGGCATGCAGATGTAAAATGTAACTGTGCAATAATATTGCTTGGATGGTGCTAAAAGCCTCAAATACAAAGATATATTTTGCTGTTCAGCAGAACAGACAACCAATCCGCTAAAATATTACACAATGCAGAATATAGATTGAAACGTTATCGCACCTCGATTTTTGCGTTTATTTAGAAGCTGATACCGCGAAAAGCTTCTTAGGGCCTGTGTACATGGAGGTGGTGGACCCCAGGTAGGTGAGGTAAGCAGTTTAGGAGGGGTAACCCGCCTGTCCATATAATCTCTCATTTTAATTTGATCACGTTTACATGTTAGGCGGGGTAACCCGCCACGTGTTACCTCACCTACCTGGGGTCCCCCAACTTCATGTAAACAGGCCCTAAATTACATTGAAATGCATCTTCCGTCAGAATTCGTCGTCAAAACTGTACGCTCCATTCTAAGGTTTATGTTTCTCTTTTTTTTCTAGAAAGCTAAACGTCTGCAAGCCAAGAAGCAGGAAGGAAATGACACTTTCTCTTGTGGGAAATATCAGGAAGCCTACGATATCTATACTGAAGCATTAACTATTGATGCCCACAATAATTCAACAAACGCTAAACTTTACTACAACAGAGCACTAGTCGGTTCAAAGGTATATTTCTGAAACCTTGTTAATAAGTATATATATACATCAGAGGCACCTCTAAACCTATTGCACGTATATTACAATCTTACAATGTACGTGTTGCACACAAACCAATAACCGCTTTGCGGCGACTGCTTACTAATGGCAAGGACAAATACAAACCGGAGGACAGACAGGGAGCAGTATACAAGATCAAATGCTGCGACTGCCAGGCTTCTTACATTGGTGAAACCGGCAGAAACCTAAACACGCGACTGACCGAACACAATCGAGCGACGAGGAATGGTGACGTCAACAATAACATTGCTGAGCACCATTTAAAGACGAAACATCAAATTGACTGGGATTCTGCGACATGTATAACGTATTCTACAGACCACTATCAACGTCTTACTTTAGAAAGCTGGTTTACTAACTAAGAACAAACGCCACTGAATCGTAGCCAACATTTACCAGCGCCGTACAAACTACTTATTGACAAGATCAAGCAAAACTAACTACGAGAGAGCGACTGGAGAACTGACAATTTGACTAACAATAGACGACTGTTTAACTGTGACAATAGACGGATCGAAACGCACCAATTACTGATTACGAGTCTTCATAGCCAATAACATCAAGGCTTAATGCATCAGTCAATTCCACCTGCGCCCAGGCCCCCGGGCTGACCCCCGGGAATTAGCATTTTTTTGCCTTGGATGGCAAATTCCCGTGGGTGGGGACTCTTGAGCTGGCAAATCCCCCGGGGTGAGGACGAAAAAAGAGGGCAAATGCCCCGTCCTCCGTCAACAGTGCAACATTTTTTATTGATCGCACAGTCCAATAGTGCCATTTTAATGTGCGATTTTTTGTTTCAATTAACGTCTTCCTTTGTAACAGCGCTAGGATTATAATCAAGACTTCACGTCGCGACGACATGCACCAGTTTATGGTTTTAGTATTGACATAAAAGTACTGACATTAAAATTAACAGAGCGCTGTAAAGTTATTTGTTATGAATAGTTTTATAAATATGAAAGGGTGTTCTTCAAATAATATCAACAGAAAGTTGATTCAATAACCAAAAAACGTTGATTCACATCGATAGCTCCAATTTCGCTATGTAATTCTGGCTTGATAAGCAATGAAGAAATGCATACATGCATGTATAATCGTGAACATGCCTTTACAACCCTCTACAATTTATTCCTGTCCTTGACAGATGAGCCAATCTGCTTTTTTTTTCCAGTAAAACCTTCTGTGTAGTTATATTCAGATAGGAAACCGCGCGCGTGTCAAAAGTTCGGGAATGGCCCGGCGGTTGGCAAATGCCCGGCCCCCGGGCAGTGCAAAATTTGCAAATGCCCCACCGCCGGGACTGACAAGGCGGGTAAATGCCCCGCAGTAGCCCGGGGGGGCTGGGCGCAGGTGGAATTGACTGATGCATAACTGACAGACGACCAATAACATCGCGACGTAATTGACCAATAATCAGACCAATAACCAGAGTATAATACCATCAACTGACGTGATACAACTCACTTTGACTCAAAACGTCAGTCACTGTCAGCAACAACAGTCCTATTCAGGACTACGTTCACCCAGACGATCGAACTCAAGCTATTTTTGAAATGACTCCTGGGTTCAAACCTTTCACAAATATATATTTAACAATTATTTCACGAGTGCGCTTTGGATATGAGATAGTAGATAGCCAACGAGGCGCTACTCGCCTCGTTGGCTATAATCATCTCCTATCCAACAAGCACGAGTGGAATAATTGTTTTATCAAAAACGCCCACAAAGTATCGAGAATTCTCTCCGACTTATTTGTAAAAACAACCGATTTTCAGCTGATTTTTAATTTTGAGCAGACGCGTGCAGCTGAATAACAGACAGCAGTGTCACTTTCTGGCAAAAAGAAAATTACATCATCCTTCTTACAATTTTTTATAGAAACTTTTCTCAAAAGAGAATTTAAAAAATCATGGACTTTCGGTGACAAGGCTTCTTTACTCAGTCTACGTCACGTCAACTCATCCTTTGCTTTAGTTTCTGGCCCTTGGTTTTAGGAAACGGATTAAATTGGAACAAGACGCTGTGTGAGCGTATATTTGGGCGTGGTCGTACTACGGGTATGATACTTTGAACGTGCCTTATTGCAGCTAAAGAACTGTCATCATCTCTTACCAGAGAAGACAAATCCTTTACTCCACTTGTTTGCTGAACCACACAACTAATACAGTATGTCCCAATCCACAACAAAAATAGTGTCATTTCACGACAGTGTTTGAAAATATACACATCTTCAATGCAGACATGCTTGGAGCCAAATTGCAACATAGGACATCAGTGTTTACAGCCCGGAGAGTAAGGTTTATCTCAGCTCCACTGATACTGACAGATGTGTTTTCACACCCATAACTTTGCATAGTGTATTCCGGTTACTAACAAGGGCAAATAAAGTTCCTTAAGTCCAGTATCCACAAGGAATAATAAGACAGTAACACATTGCATAAACTGCTATAGGGCAGCAGTGTTTACAGGAACATTGGTAACTATTAACATTTGATATACTACAGTTTTCAACATTGCTTGAGAAAAGATGAGGTTCAAAGGCGGCAATATGTACACCTTTAAGTTCATATATATCCTCATTCCTATGCAGAGTCTGAAAATATTGTACTAATTTATGCATTGATGGTATTTCCAACAATACACATGTCCCTTCACTATGACTGTTATCATACATATCTCTAGCATGAGAATCAAATACATTATATACCCCAGCCTTAGTGCTGTAGATACCAACACCAATAATTGCCACCGTTAAAATGAATGAGTTGTAGTTCAGTGCCAAGAGTGTTTGAAATACTGTAACCTGTGAGTGGCATATACAGTGGAGATGTATGTTACAAGTATAACTGTCACTGTATTCAAGGTGGAAAAATTGCTCAAACACTGTAACCATTCCTGGCAATTCTGTTAACATTGACATAGATTGTCTTGCAAGCAGTGACAGACAAGAATATAATTGAATACCAACAATCATTATTTGAGTCATATCATCAACTGAAGTCATCTTTGTTATCTTACTGTAAATTAAAGCGCACAGACTCGTTGCGACACATCGTTGTCCACCATTTTCCCCAAATTCTGTAACATTTCCTTGACAGTATGGAGTATTAATTGTTTTTGTAGCATCTACATAAACTGATGGCCCTGGATTCTTTTCTATATCAATACAAAGCTTGGAAATTGGCCAAAATTAACCCGGTGATTCAAACTGTTTTAAGCACTATAAAATGGATAATTACATGTACAGAGGGGCAAATTCTTACTTAGAAGCCTATTTGGATATCTCATTCCACCTAAATCGCCTGTGCTCTGCTGCTTGGACGACAGATACACCTTCCCTCGTTTACGAACTAGTTTTGTAGTTGTCCCTTAAGTAAAAACCTCACACTGTTACTGTTACTTCTGTACCTGTTAAAGTGTAAACCTTTTCTACTTTTAACGTAACGATGAATTTCAGACGACAGTGGTGTATTTTTCCGAATACTCTTCCATACAAAAAGTGTCACTTTCCGTGTTTTCTGTAACAAAGATTTTAATTTGTTCATTGGTAGTCTGCTAGTGGCATGACGGTAACCGGTCATTTTGTTCCATGGTCAGATCGTTGACATCGTTAATTCCAAGTCAGATCGTTCCAATCAATAGTCAGATCGTTCCGTAAAATAGTCAGTTCGTTCCACAAAAAGGTCAGTTCGTTCCACATATGAAAAGTCAAGTAAATCTTTCTAAATTCGTTGAGTGAACTTTATCGAGAAGGAAAAGGTTTCGTTCATACCACAAGCTGATAAAATAATAATCGATCCAAAGTCGGTTCGATCCATCCTAAATCGTTTGAAAACAAACAAGAGACGATTTCAACCAGCCACGGGCTTTAACATTTAAACCGCTGCTTTGAGAGTTTTGAGCTAAAATCGATCGATAGTTTTGAAAGATATAGCACAACAAGTAAAAGATATGCCGCTCTGAAGGTACAGTATTTCGAACTGGGGGGTACTCCCATACATTACCCATACCGCCCAACGGGGTCGTGATTTTGAAGCTCCTGATTTAGAACGGGGTATCCATTTCAGAGGCGTTTTCTAGAACGGGGTATAAAAATTGTGGATCACGGCTTTATCTTCTGCTTAAAATTGTTACTGATTATGAAGAAGCATTTATTTGATGTATAAGTCGAACAAATAAAGAAATATCTTTTTAAAAAACAGGGCTATTTGAATTTACAAACTTTCTAGAACGGAGTATAAAAACCGGCCCATTTCTAGAACGGGGTATAAGTTTTAGGGCGAATACTAGAACGGGTTATAAAAAATTGGCCCATTTCTAGAACGGGGTATCAATTTTAGGAAATTTTTTTTTTAGAATGGGGTGCCAATTTGGAGTCCCGGGCGGCACATACCCACCCAAAAAATACCCAAGTGCCCCCCCCGGGATTTCGAAGCACATGTAACCTAAATATTTCTTTGCAGCGGCCGATTTATGCAAATTTTGAAAACAACGCGAGTTTCGAATTACAATCTCGATTTTATGGTAACTTGTCATGCCGAAAATATAATGGACTAACCTGGTTTGAACCAATGAAATTGTAAGTTCTGTTATAAATAAATTTCCCACGACGAGATCAACTTCTTTTATTTCCTCCACAACACAATTTTCCTTCTGTACAACTAGCTCATTAGCTTCTGTTGTCGTCACCTCGCTGCCATCAAAACACTAACACAAAACTTGCTGATAAAGCAAAATCCCGACGCACAGCATCGTATGAAAAAACACAACACGCAATACAAAAACAAGTACATTAACTGTCACCCTGCTAAACAAAATTGAAATAATAGAAAGAATTGTTGCAGTTATCACAGTAGTTCCAAAAGAAGCCTCAGTCCGTTTTGGTTTCAATTGTTGACAATCGTCTCTTCCTTCATCGGAACAGATTTTTATCACGGGCAACTCGTTGTGCTCCGTAATGCATAAATCAAAATCACTATTGTCACAGTGATAACCAGCTACACAAACCTTGCGACTCTCAAACTTGTTAAACATTGCTCTGTTAAAACTCATATCCATTTTACACGTACACTCGCGACATTCCGATTTGTTATTACGTCTGTGGGGTCCATGAGTCTTTCATGTCATTGAATGTCTTGATCATTTCCTTTGTTTTTCTTTGAGTTCGCGGACCAGCCCATTCCGAAAACACTCAGTGTTATTTTTATAGTGTGGGCCTACCGCGAACAGTGTGTGCATTTAACCCGGGATAACATAATTGAACAATATATTAACACGTTCCCCGAAACGCCGCAGCCAAATCTTAACCAAACTACTTCTCAATGCTGCTTCGAAAAATTTCGGATTAAACGATATCCAAATCGTCCCTCATTGGATCATCCACTCGACCTAACAAAATCGACCAATCACAAAAAATGGACATAAAATAAAGAAAACAGCAAATTCAGATGACCTCTTAGGAAACATGCAATTAAAACTGTCTTTCCATGATTGGTGCATTTCGATCCTCTCGTTAAAAAAATGTCAGACGTCAATCATCTTAGCGGACCTCTTAGGAAACAAAAGTTTTCTTCAGCGGGTTCAAAAGGTCATTGTTTATGATTTGTGATTGGTGGATTTCGATCCGTTTTTTGTGTTTCTGCGTCTCAAAGTTCGTTGCTTGCGATGTCATTGTGACCAAAACCCGACGTTAATATTCCAAATATTTTTGATAGATTTCATCCCTGGACTTCAGACTTCCAAATTTCGATGAGGCAAAAATACTGAAGATTCAGATTAACTTTAGAGATCGTAAAAGTGCGATTAAGTGCCATGTGCAAGCAGAGCTTTCTTTCCGACATGCCTCGTACCTTGTACAAGACGTTCGCATGACAGACATTCGCCTTGCTTCGCTTGTTTACTTGCCTTGTTTACGTTAGCACGTATTGCGTGCCTATTGCACATTTGCGTCAAAACAAGCCGTTTCCATTACTCTATTTGGGCCACGCCCAAATAATAATGTGGCGCGTTTAATTTTGCTGACATCTTCCTTGGATCCTTGGATCTTTACGCTAGGAAAGAACAAAGGAAGCCAGCCCTACTTAAAATCATTAAGTAAACGCATTGAGAATGTTTCGAATTGCTCTTTTTTCCGCCCCTTTGTTCAAATATTCACCCATTCTAAGCGACCGGAATGTGAAGTAATGAACATTTTCAGCACTTCCCCTTTTAGACCGTGCCGTTTTTTATGTAATGTAGTGTAAAAAACCATTTGTTTTCTATTTTCATGTTTTACAGGCGTTGATTTATCTTTGCATAAACTTGTGTTTCAGCTCAACAGATTAGAGGAAGCCATCAACGACTGTACTCAAGCAATTGAGTTGGACCATACATACCTAAAGGCTTACATCAAACGGGCTCGATGGTTAGTGGTCCTCCCTTCCTAACAAAAGTGTGTTTATTATTATTTAACTGATTTCTTTTTGATCTGGGTAAATGCATTAGCGAGCGTTTAATAAATGTTCTTTGAGAAATTGTTACGATTTTTATAGATTACTTAAACTGTTTGATAGAGACATAGATAATTAATAACCTTTATGTTACCTTTAGTTATTCTGCCAGTACGTAGTATTTTTAGTGCAAGGCTAATTGGGCCGAGCTAAATGCCGTAAATGATCAAATTGGCGCCCCCGTCTCAGTAATAAACACCCTCTGTCTGATAGACGCCCACCATGACAAATTACTACTTAATAGCAAATAGCGAAAAGGAGCAAAAGGGAACAAAAGAGGAGCAAAGTGGAACATTTTTCAACAAAGGCTTACTGGCATAATGGGTTCAAGTTTACTATTCGCGCCCTAACCTACCCTGGTTTAACTGAAAGTTTGAGGAGACAGACAAGGAAAAAGCAAATGTGTCTCAGACTGGAATTTGTTCACATTAGCCACGAAACAATTACACAAGAACTTGAATAGGTCCAGAAACATTTATCTTTCTGACCTTCTCGGCGACTTCTTAAAGCAAAACCCGAAGGCTTTCTGTTCACACATAAAAAAACTAGGAAAAGAGAGCACAGATATTCAAGACCTTAAAGTTGGAAATGAAGTGTTTACTGAGCCGAGTACTAAGGCTTAAGTGCTACACAGCCAGTTCTCCAGTGTTTTTAACAACGAAGGAACAGAGAATATCCCAGACCCTGGGAAAAATTCCTTTTCCGACTATTGGAACAATAACTATCACTGTCTCTGGAATCGAAAAGCAACTTAGAGGGTTGAAGGCTGACAAAGCTTATGGCACTGATGGAGTTCCCCCCTGGTTTTTAAAGCAGAATAACCAGGAAATATCAGAGTTTCTTACTTATATCTATCAAGACTGTATCAATACCGGAACTGTGCCCAGCCAATGGAAACATGTTCCCAACGTATGTGCCATTCACAAGAAAGGAAAGAAATCGGATCCGTCAAACTATAGGCCCGTATCACTTACTTGCATCGCTTCAAAAGTACTGTGCATAGCCATGTTATGAATCACCACTGTCACCTGTCGCAATATGGAATGCTCACTGATTACCAACATGGCTTTAGGGCGAAACGATCAACAGAAACACATCCCGTATGTACCATTCATGACATAGCGAGTACTATTCAGTCTAACAAAACAATTCACGCCGCAATCGTTGACTTTTCAAAAGCGTTTGACAAAGTTCCTCGTCGTCGTCTTTTGACGAAACTTGAGTATTACGGAATTCGTGGCTCACTACTAAACTGGTTCGAATCGTTTCTATCACAGCGCACCCAATCAGTACTAATTGAGGGGGCATCATCTGCTCCTGTAGCCACGACATCCGGACGGTCCTAGGACCGTTACTGTTCTCAATAGATATAACTGATTTACCTAATGGTCTTAACGCTACCGTTAGACTTTTTGCTGATGATGCATTGTCATATGGAATAATCTGTTGTGATGAAGATGCAGCTGATCTTCAAGATAATATAACATAACATAACATAAAACTTTATTTATACTCGAATTTTAGAGTAGCTAACAAGCTAATATCTTCGAGCTGACACTACATGAAAATAATATAGAAATATATATATACATTCAATGCATTATAAGTAATAATAATAAAATAATATCAATAATAATAAGCACATAAAAAAAAGAAAAAAGAAAATATTATTTACAATTCACAATTTTAAGTTTAAGTATGTTAGGCGAAAAGAATCTACATGAAGGTAACATCCTCTATTTGGTCTTAAAGTCTGCAAAAAACTGGTACGAAAAAAGTCCGGCAGTGCATTCCACTGCTTAGCTGAAAAGTAAGAAAAGGAGTTAAGACCATAGGTAGTTGTTTTAGGTTTACTTAGTGAAAGAATGTAGTTGCCACGAAGATCATAGGAAGAGGACCGGAGTGAAAACATATTCCTCATATAAGCAGGAAAATGAGTGAAAAACAAACTCTTATATAACAGAATGAGGAAATGAGGAAAGGAATGAGGAATCAGGGAAGATGATATATCAAGAGAGAATGAGCTAGGAGAGCGAATCCCTGTGCGCCATGATCATTTTTTAAATCTATTTAAAGTTCGCGCGCGTGCTGCGAAGGTTATTTTTGTCTGTTGTTTCCGTGACCCGCGTGGTCTACTTTCGCAAGAACGTGACATGTTTCGCCGCCAAACATTTGACGTTTGACAGCCATTACAGTAATTAGCGCGAGGCGCCGATACTAATCGGCTCCTGTTGTTGACATGTTTTTGATCAGCGCGTTCCGCTCATAATTAAGGAATGAATTTCATTTACAAAGGGATTGCAGTATTGGAGTCAGATGTGCCTGGATGTCGCCGGAAGAGACAGTTGTCGTTTTTATACAATAGGTTGTTGGTTGTTTATATATTGATGTAGCGAAGACCCCAATGCATGAGCAGTTTTCGCCCAGTCGGAACCGCTTTCTCTGGCGAACTCCCAGAAGCCAGGACCGTTTTGCTCTTCGGCAACTACTCTGGCCAGATTATTCCACGTAGAAATCGTTTGACTCTTCGTCGAAAGTAATGCCAAGTTTGCACGTCAGATCGCTTGCTGTGCGTGATCGGTAGTGAAATGAATTACCCGCCAAGTTTAAAATTACATGATGCCACTCTAACTGACCAATAAGGTGGCGTCCTTAAAATAACCGCGCAGTATGACACAGAACCAAGAATAGATTGAAAATAATTTTCACGGGAAGAGGGTCATGTATGGGGCATTCGCTCTCTTAGATCATTCCCTCTTGGATATATATAGATTAGAAGCTTGGCAACAAAAGCGGAAGATTGGAATTCAATCCTTCAAAGTGTAAGATCATGTGCTCTACAACCAAGAGATATCAACCAAAGCGGGAATACGTACTTTGTGGAGAAATTCTAGAAGAAGTGGTTTCTCACCCTTATGTGGGAGTAGGGCTTGGTAACAAAATAAGGTGGTCCTCACACATCGAGGTAATCTCATCAAGGGCAAATAATGTCTTAGGACTTATTAAACACAATCTGTGAAAGAAACCGCATACACGACACTTGTGAGACCAAAGCTCCAGTATGCCTGTAGTGCATGGGACCCGCACTACCAGAAAGATAAAGCCGTAATAGAAGGGGTTTAACGAAAAGCGGCTCGCCTTGTCACGGGAAATTATGATCGAACAGCGAGCGTGACGGGAATGCTGCAAGATTTAAAGTGGGACACGCTTGAAACAATGATAATACACATAAGGCTGTCCGTCATGTATAAGATGGGAAATGGGAGGACTATTTGATTCCAAATAGAGAACGGGGAACACGAGGAAGCCATGATTTTAAGTGTATTGTACCGAAAGAACACAAGGATATTTTTAGATTTTCTTTCTTTCCCAGGACAGTAACTGAAAAGCCAATCTCTGTCTTTATTTAAAAGTTAACTCCTTTAACTCTTTTTATTAGCAGTTAATATTTGTTTTATTTGTAGTTTTAGCTTTTATTACCATTTGTTTTGTCTTGGAGTGTTTTAGATGTGATGTCCCCTGGATATTGCCGACAAAACAATATTTAGATTTATATTTAGAATCGTTCAATTTCTGCAGTTTCTTTAGCCTGAACACGAGAACTGACATCGAAGTTGAGATATGAAAGAGCGATGTGGATCTCTAGACGACCTAGAAGTATCAATGGATCGACTTGATATTATGCCATTTGTAAACTATTTTGATATTTTTTGCGAGAAAGCATATAGTGTTGTTGAGCTTGTTACAACTATGAAAATAAACGCCTTGTATCTATTAAACGCCCCCTCTGGGCGTCTATTAGATGGTTTACGGTAACTGAAACAAACAATTGTGAAACATAACAGGGTTAAGAATCCCAACTGTGCGGAATTTTGAGGCCTCTTGTCTGCAAGTCCAACACTCTAACTACTCGGCCATGCTGCCTCCTCTTACACTTGGTTTTTAGACTGTAAGGTTTTCAAAAAATCAGGCTCCTATGGTCAGTTTCGTAATGACAGCAGAAAGAAGGTGGATCTCTCGAATTATAGGCTGTACGTCAATTTATGCTTAATTATGACTCAAAGCGGGAAGATAAATTCTTACCTCTGTGCCAAAATGGGAAATCGCCTGATATATTTTTTGGTTAAAGATCCCTATATTGTGTCTCCTCCATCCATCTGATTTCGGTAGAAAACATAACTGTCTTCCCTCTAATCCAAATCCGACAATCTGGTCCAGAGCAATGTGTGCTGTTTAAATTTTAATAAATCTGCATATGTGTTTTCCAGGTTTGAGCTACTCGCCTGTAATATGACTATGTTCGTTTATTCCTTTTAAGTTACATGGAAGCAGAAAAATACGAAGAAGCTGTAAGAGATTGTGAAAAAGTTTGTAAAATGGACCGATCTCGAGGTGAGGAGGCTAAAACCATGGTGTTATCCTGCGACAGAAGCATAGGAGGAACGTCTGCGCCTCAGCGACAGAAATTTCATACTGATGAAGCAGTTCAATGTTTACATAATAAATCCGGTAGTCATGGGGTTCCAAAAGTACATTTGCTTAATTTTATGTTTCTCCTGGTCGAGTATGGTAAAGTTTTGTGTTCTACTGCGAATGAGCTCCAGCATGCTTCCTCTAGAGAAGAATATATTCCACGAATATTGACTGTTTTGCTATAGATTCATCGCGTTTACATTTGACCTTTGTGGCCTTTTGTCTTTTGTCTGTCATTCGTAAACAATAGGTAAAACAATATAACTACTATGTCGACCAATCAGAGCTCCCGACCAGATTCCGGACAGATTTTACGTCATCAGTATGGAATTTCTGTCGCTGAGGTGCAGACGTTCCAGCAAGAAGCATAGGAGCAAGGAGAAACGGCTGTATTCGCAGGCTACCATTCTGTTAACTGTGGCGCTTCAAGCTTGTTACATATTCTGAAACATTTTAGCGGTAAAAAAGACCTGAACATATCGAGACCATCTTTCGCTACCATTTCGGGGACAACTCCAACGCAGTCAAACGTCTAAGGCGTCCTTCTGCAGCTCTGTTGTTGTGTTAGGAATTTCATTTGCAAGTGAACGCGCGAGGAATGATACGTAAAATGATTAGTTAACTTAACGGTTTTTTTTTCTTTTTTCTCAAAAATTATATGGATTTTTCTCGTTGAAAACCCTTCTCGCTCGATTAAAAATTATGCTGCCAAATGGCGCCGACGATAACATTAGTTTCAGCAATCAGTTTTTTAAAACCTTTATGGTAAACTTTTGAAATGTTTAGTGAATTGGTAGCGTACTGATAATATCAAAAACTTTCCAAAACGGTGAAAGTAGAGAACCTAGCTTGAAGTATCTTGCTAAGGTTTTGAAAAGTTCCCTCGTTTGATGCAAAGATGTCATATTAGTAATTAAGTAATAGTACGTGAGTAATCCAGTTTAATCAAGGCAGGAAATGTGATGTTGGCATGCTTTTGCTTCTTCAGGTATGCTTCAAATAAATTTATCTTTTTTTTCAGAGCATCGACGAATGCTAGAAGAGGCGAAATTGGAACTGAAAAAGAGCAAAAGAAAAGATTACTATAAAATTCTAGGGATTTCCAAGGGGGCAACAGAGGAAGAAATTAAAAAGGCGTACAAAAAAGAAGCACTAAAACATCATCCAGGTGAGAGCTAGCGCAACGGGGCAAAGTGTTTCAAGAGCATTATAAGGCAGTGCTAGCAAGGCTATGACCAACGTTTTTAAGGGAGACTATTCAGTGAAGAAAGTAATGTTAATGAGTCTATATCATGTGAAGTGGGATAGAATAGGCTCCGCGATGTCGCTTTTTGGAAGATATTATATGTATGTTATCGTTATTTTCCGCTTTGAACACATTGATGTGCTTGTACAGTTCGGAGGTCTTGTGGTGAATAGGTTGCCTCCTCTTGAAACCCATATTTTCTTGTGATTCACTTTTCTTTAGTCGATAACTCTTTCTCTCAGGGTGATTACCCTAGGCTGTCTAATAGCTTGTTGGCTCAAATCAGGACTTTCGATTCTCGCCTTCTTAATACAGTTGAAACCAAGATGGCTGCTCGTCGATCACTCGCTTTTCAACATCAAGTTGTTTTCATTTGCATCAAATTCTTTAGCGTGTCGCTATCATTAAAATATCTGTACACGTTCAAGAGTTGCATTTGTTGCAGTGCATCTTGAAAACAGTAACTGACTTACGCCTCACGCTGCTGTTCTGATAATTCTGAGGGACCTTTAGATTGGACTATGAGTACAAGCCTACTGTTTACAAACTTCTAATTCGTGTACCTTAGTTAATTACTTATCATGTCAATCTTCAAGTCAATCTTCAAGTCGTACTCATAATCAAATGTAAGGAAGCAAGGATTGGCACAATCGGGTAGTGCACGGCCTTCCGTGCGAGAGTTGCCGATTTCAGTTCCCAGGTGTGACCTCAAATCAACTTCTTTCCTTTTTGCGTAGCTTTAAATTACTTTAAATACCCGTAAAACGGGTATTTAAAGGCAACGCAGAAAGGAAAAAGGAAACGCAAATATGCGGGGAGGAGCTGATTACACTGAAGACCGTTGTTAGTGTTCAGCACTTTAAAACACGTCAAACGATAACTGCTTCTGGTTCGAACGCCCTTTCAAATATCAAAATTGTTTAATACTCTACTGGTCGCTAGGCTGCGAGAGAACTTGCTCGCACGCTAACTGGTTGCATATGATAACTTTTTCAGATCGTCACTCTGGTGCGACAGATGAAGTGAAAAAAAGTGAAGAACTGTTGTTTAAAGAGGTCTGTTTGTTTTACTGTTGTAGACAGCATTCTTTTAATATGCTTATGTATTCTGCCAACTTAGCCATATATCTTTGTGTTTTAGGAGTCCTAAGGATCAAAAGGTGTGGTTGATTTTCAGACCTTGTCCTGTAATTCATCTTTGATTTGGTGGCTAATAATTTTAAGTCTTCCCTTGCACGCATATTACAGTAATTTACATATGGTTATGAGTCAGGGCATACAGTTGACTCCCGATAACTCGAACCCTCGCGAACTCGAACCTCGCGCTAACTCGAAGTCATTTTTGTTTCGTTTCAGATCATTTCTATGTAAATTTACCCTCGATAACTGGAACCATGTTGTAATTGAACCGTGGCAATGTTTTGTCTTTACTTTTTTGTCCTTCCAGTTCAAATTCCGTGTCCATTCCTGTATACTTGGTCGCTTAATTGCATTCCCCCCCCCCCATCCATTCGCTTATTTTGTTATTTCAGGTTATTTGCTTCAAACTCCCGATAACTCGAACACTTTTCGATTTCCCTAGAAGGTTCGAGTTATCGGGCGTCCATTGTACTTTAATAAAGTAAGAAGCTTGGGGAAGATATGCTGTTATCAGGCTGTACTGGGACTTCCCGAGGCGAAACGCTTGCTGTTGTTTTCGTAACGTATCGACAGCCATATGACTTTCTTTACTCTCTCTCTCTCTCTCTCTCTCTCTCTGTTTTGGTTTGAGGGAGGTGACGGGAAAACTCAAAAACGTAAAAAGCTATAAATAAGAACTGTAGTGGCCCGGGCGTAATGGTCCTAACGGGACGCGTACTCTTTCCATGACACAAAATTTACATGCAACTGATTCAAAAGAAAACAAGAACGCGCTTACAGCGGTTGTCCGTCTCGCTTGCTTGGAGATTAAATCCTGAAATGAGGAGGCGATTAATTCTACACGAAAGAGGATTTACTCGCTAAAGGTTTTTTTTACGTCTTACTTGATCGACGTCAATACTTCTTATTTGTTTCTGAACTGATTTAGTACGCTTGTTAGCGACGACCGGAAATACGTCTGCGGTCGCAGGCTATACGCGTGTATAAATACACGATTCCAGAGAAATTACATCATCGCCAAGATCAAAAAAGTTACTTACATGACACGAAAAGAAAGAAACTGAAAAGAAACTGATAGAAGCTTTTGAATTTTAGAGGCTGACAGTTTTTTTTTATTATTGAAATGAAATGTTTTTAATTCGAATAAATTTTTCTTAGTTCAATTAACTCTTTCTAAGCTAAATTAAGTGCTTTTGAAATCGACAGGAATTGTAAATAGTGTTTTGAATGAATAGTTTTTTCTTTTTTTCAAGCGAATTAATTGTAAATAGGATTTTAATAGTTAGCATTGTTGTCAGTTAAATTTTTTCGCTTACATGACACTTCATTTGAGTCATCGCCGAAAATAAACCGCATGCTCATCACAAGACCATTTGTATGCAATGAAAGGTTACAACAGCCGACCATCGCAGTTTTGTTAATTAAGATTCATATTTTATTTTTCCACCAGTTAGAAGTGTTCACTTGTTCTAAGTAATCAACGTTTTCAAGCGATCGAATTCGTGGACCGACACGTTTCGGAAAAGCTCTCAATTTAATCTTTCCTAAGCTTTCTTGGCAAAACATGCGTGGCTTCGATCACGCAACGATTCTTAATATTCCCATCAGGGCGGATAAATGTTGGGCGGTGAAACGAGCGCTCCGCTCTTCATTTAATGTGTGATGCGGGGTAGGACTGGCACGAGTGCTCTTTCCGCGCTTCCGGTGCGCTTGAAGGCCGGCGAAATTTTCCTTTTTGCAAACCGGAAATCCTATTTTCTTTCTGTAATTTCAGGCTACAATGTTAAATAGATAAATTCGTTTCATAACAATATCAATAACCAGTTTCATATGTTTGTGTCTGTATGCCTATAAGTCAAACTTGTTGGTCGTTTAATGTCAAAATTTGAGTTTAATTTGAAAGTGTTGAATACCTCCTCCTTCCACTAAATATCACGGAATCGTCTTTCGCCGTTTCGTTTGCAAAAGCTTAACACTTCTTAACCTCAATTTTTACATATGTTAAAGGGAGATAAATTTTATATAACATAATAAAAAAATGGATTGATATATTTTGATATAGTGGCGTTGTACCAGAGAAGTCCCAGTCTACTGCATCACATCTTTTTGCTCGGACGCGCTCGTTTCACCGCCCAACCTTTATCCGCCCTGATTCCCAGTTTCCACGGTCTCCGCTAGGAACGCCTGGCACAATGACCCCCATTTGTGTCCAAAATACGACGAAAAACGCGTTGCAGAGACTAACAAGGACGAGTTCTGTAAAAGTCTTAGTGGTCTCGTGTTTTAGCAGTGGGACTTGTTTATTTTTTAGGTAAATGAAGCGTACAGCGTATTATCAGATCCCAGGAAAAAAGCTCGGTATGACTCAGGACAAGACCTTGAGGACGGCTTTATGAACACGGGTTTGTCACAATTTTAAATTGTTTAAGTTTTTACTCGCCCGGTGAAGAGTTAGACCCTTCCTTTGCATATATAGATAAGAGTTAGCAGTTACTGCTGTGTGTGTACGTGTCATGTTATCATCAGTCTTACGGCACGAGAGCTTTTTCTGTTAGTGCGCTTGTGTGTATTACCTTTGACTGCTGTTGCATATATCTTTCATATCTATTGATTGTCTCCTTTGTTCTATCCCACTTAGATTTTGATCCAAATTCAATATTTCAAGCATTCTTCGGAGGCCCGGGATTCGGCGGGTTCAACTTTGGTGGACCGGGAGGTATGTTGACGGTACAATAGAATCACAGAATATAGGAATACAATCAAAACTATACACTGCGATCGGCTTGAAGACAGTGAAAAAGGCCAGGGCACAATAAACCGAAAAGTCGACCGCTGTAGACAGGTGGTTCGTCTTTGATTTATTCGTCATTGAAGAAACTTATGTTCTTTCTATCTCCTGTGCTATTCTTTGTGGTCCACTAGCGGGACTGGAATTACTTTTTATAAAATACTTCTCATGTATACAATATGTATTTGATGTTTATATTAACGTTTCCAACTTACACAGTCCGGGCCATAACCATTTCTGGATACTCGATGACGTCATCGATAATGGCTTTTATAATGCCGACTTCGAGGAAACTTATTTCTAATCTTATTTGAGCCTTAGCGGATTTAGTCCTCAGTTATGTTCCACGAAACATTGCGAAATTAAAGGCAAAGAATGACTAAATATAACAAGCGAATAGGTGATAGCCTCGGTTGTGATTTGAGACAAAAGTTCTGCGGAAAAGTCGATCAAAGGGGCCTTCTCCGAGGGCGCCGATAAAGGAGTTACTGTACATGTATGCTCGTGTTGATGAGATTCCAGGCGTGATGAATGAATGAACTTCACATTTAATATGTCGTTACACTTTGTCGTCTTCGTGGAAAAAAAAACTATCTGATGCAGAGCAGCGTAGTGCCGTGTAGCAGCGGGTAGATTACAAAGTGGAGGAATCGAAACTTTAACAGTCTCACATGTAGAGGTTATTTCCTGTGCTTTTTGTTTCTGACGAGAATTGACTTCTGGTGATTTCGTGCTATGTTTTGTCACGATTGTTTTCAGGATGTTGAATTTTCACGGATAGTGATTTTAATGACCCGAATTAACTTGGTAAAAAACGGCGGGCCTTTAGGACTGAACGACTTTTACCTCATTATAATGTAAAATGTCATTTGTTTCACACCGCGTGTAGCCTGGCGAAACGTCCCTTGCGTCCCTCGCGAGTCGCTGGCCACACCTTGTGGCATAGCCTGCGTTGCAGCCGGCCCACGCAGTCGTCTAAACCATTAATATAGCTCTATACAGAAGGTTTACAGCGTCTGCGACGCAGGCAACTTGTGGCATGATTTCTCAGTTTATAAAAATAAAGTCTTGGGAAAAATAGTCCCCTTAGGTCTACGTAGCCTGACGTAGACAAGACAATACATGTATTTTTATTTGGAGTCTTACACCAGCTGGCACATAAACTTTGAGATAATTCAAAATTACAATATATATTTTAGTTATCAATTACATTATAACAAGTTATATTAAATAGAGATAATTACAGTCATTTTATTTCATCATCGTGATATTTCTCCTTTACAAACAACATAGTCCCCAGGGTGCTTTTCCCTAGCTTGACCGTCACCCGCCACCCGTCAACCGCCGCTCCTGCCACATAAACCTCCGATTCTTTTCTAGCGGGTAGATTGTGCTGTCGAGCAATCCTTCTTTATACTACTTCATGAGAAATTTCTGCAATTTGATTGGCTTAGAGCAGTGGTATTTCAGCTTAATTTGAAATACCTACATGTGAAATTACAAAACCTTTGCGGGTATTAGTATAAATAAATAATAGCATGATTTGTACGTGATATTTGGCATAAATTCCACTCGTGATATTTCAAAATTGTCTCAATTACGTGTAACAATTTCGAAATATCACTCGTGGTATTTATGCCAGATATCACTACAAATCATGATACTTCCTATACTTATTTCCTGGGGTTTTAATTTCTTTAAATACAGGATTTGATCTCTGGTTGATGCACTGTGAGCACAGGGCGCCCTTACAATCTGTGTTTAACCGATTGTTATTTTATAGTAATTGTACTGGATTTACCGTTTGCCTCACCCATAGCGATATATCGCGAAGTATTTATATAAATCTATGTTAAATAAACGTTGAGATGCCTTACAGGTAGTAAATTGTCGTCCTTTCTCCTCAAAATTTTGAAGGATTTTGAGTTCGCCGATTATTAGGAACAGTAAACGGCGAACTCAATACCTCAGGTAAGGTAATTCAACGTTTATTTAACGTTGATTTATTTGCACACTTAGTGCATTTACTATAAAACTAGGGTATCTAAAAGATAGTAATGCTGCGGCACATTCTGTTGATACTGGCATTAGTTAGGCAATGGGACTTAAAGTAATCGAAAATGACATTGAATGCCCCATTTACATGTTGGAAAGTACTAGAATAATTACTATCAGTCTATAGAGAGAACTCGCGGGAACGTTGTTTAGAAAATGATCAAGTGGTTATCAACTCTGGTTTTCCCACAGTAAATTGTAGGAAATGATAGAAATTCAGATTGTTTATCCATATATTTAATATACGGTGTACTATCTTTTCTCTGGAAACACGATACTTTTCTTGCTGTTTATTGCACTTTATTAAGTAACAGTTATATAGCTATATATTTATAGCAAACAACAACACCAAAAACGGAAAAAAAAGAAAGAAGGAAAAAAAGAGTTAAGTAGGACCCGAACCCGGCACCATCGGCTCGACGCGACCACACCTAACCACTACACCATTGAGACTGATCAGGTAATTCTGGGAACAGTCTTTAATTTAATGCCTTTTCCATGAAACTTCCGCCGGCAAGATGATCGCCAGCCACATTAATTGAGCTATTAACAGTAAAAAAAAATGTAAACGCATATTCCACGGCAATGAATGAATGAAAGAACATAATATGCTTTTCAAAACGCCGATACACGTCCTCGTCTGCAACGTAGGACACAAAACATATGTTTTGTTATCTCGATTTCCGCTGTTATTTTGAAGCGAATGGTCAAAATCACATCCATTTTCGGCTCATACAAGTTCTTAAGAATAGCATGGCATGACATTTTCTTACTTTCACATCACCTTCTAGGAAGCTGGAATTTGTATATCCCCCGTGTTGCAGAGTCGAAGAGCAAATGCTCATCTTCTCGTCAGGTTTAACACCTGGATGAGTTAAAGGCTCTTGAATTAAAAACAAATCCCCAAGTTAACCATCGTACTCATCTGAAAGACTCCTACGTGTCTTAAATTTGGTAAGACCTCTAACCGTGCTGTAGAAAGTTTGCTACAAAGAAAACTCTGAGTTTGGGCAGCGAACGATGCAAACTTCCCCGTGTTTTTATTTGAGTTGTCCGTGGCGCAATGCACTCTGGTTAAATGCAATGCATTGTGGTAAAAAGTGATGAATTCGAGAATTCATCGCCCCTTATATATTTCCTTTAAATCCTGATTATGTTGCTGCTCGCTCCCTGCGGTCGCTCCGCAGCAATAACATCGGTTACACACGCAGATTGTGGGGGCGCCCTGTGGTTTAAATATTTTCTTTGGCGCCCCGGGTGGAAGACCACGACGTTCAAATGATGAATTTTTCACTCTTTCAGAGTTCGGGAATGTCAAGACTTGTATGCTAAATGTTTCAAATAAATGAATTATTTTTTATGCTGTCTTTCTATGCAGTGTTTACTACTGAATTTTGGCCGATTGCCGCAAATGCCTGCCATCAAAAAAATTGTTTACTCGATGTTTTACTCATTTCCAGTATCTCTCGGACAAGTTTATTTTGTTTTGGTTTTGACCTCAACCAATCACAAGGCACGAAACCGATATCCAGAAATGGTTATGGCCCAGACTGTTAACGCTGACGCCCATTTGCAAATTTATTGGTCTGTTAATGAAGGAAATGATGAGGCGAAATAAAACAATTACATGTGGGAAGGTCCCTATTGGACGTTTCTTGGGATGGAACTAAAGCAGGCGATGTTGACCTTAAAGAACGTTATTAGTTTTCTTCAAGAGTGCCATGAGCGAGCACTTGTTTAAAATGTTGCTTGTAGAAAAATTGATCTTTCAATCATGGTACAACTTAAATCATTTTATTCCTTCAAAATATTTTTTTTCGTTACTGAACGATGTACATTCCCCGGTTAATTCTTCATAACCAGCTTCAACCAATTGCAAAAAAGGTGACACACTCGGACGAAAAACCGACCTTTTTTACTTCAAATCGCTGCTAGTCACACTTCCGTGCGACCTCACCTCCTTCCTCCCTTCCAGTGAAGGTTTTTCCTCCAAGTTTTGAGCAAGGTCTTGTATTGCTAGCAACGTTGATACGGGGAGGAGGGGGGATCACAAGCACAAGATCATGGGCAGGCCATTTAAGCCAAAATAAGGTAAAGTGCAGAATATTTTTGCAACTGGCTGGAGCGTTGACCAAATTTGACTTTGGCAGTGTGCAGCTGGAGAAGATGGTTTAAGACTTGTACAGAATAGACAAAAATACGATATTATCTGCTAAAGTAAACATCCCTTCCTGTCCCGATGCTGTTGATGATTAGGCTACTTTCGTAAGGTATGAAGAATTAACACCCTCCTCGAGGTTAATACATTTAGCAATCATTTTAGTAAGTTCATGAAGCTGACTGTGATGACAAGAATTTAACGTGTTATATACTTCCTTTTCTTCAGGTGGACCAGGTGGTTTTTCGTCCAGTGGATTTCCAGGTGGAATTCAGTTCACCTTTGGCTAACTTTGAACTTACCTTTTGTACCTTTACGTCATCAATAGCGGAGATAACACTGAGTAACGTATGGCTTGTACACCATTGCTGCTCCAGTCAAGCTTAAATGATACACAGACATTACTGCTTGTTTCTTTTAACAACAGTTGCGTCAAATAACAACTATTAATGGCTCGGGGACGTTTTACGATCTTCAATCTATTTCAGTCTAAATAACGGTAAAAAAGGTGTTCTTAACAGGGCGAAGACTTACCATACTCTACGCTTATTATCTCCCAATAAATTATTCAAACTGGACATTAATTTCCTATTCAAAACATGGGCGGATTCAGAGGATTGTCCAGTGGACCGCAGATACCCCTTTTTCTGTGAAATTGTGTATCATTTTTAAAGAATTCTCGGTAACGTAAGTAGTATCTTTACAGCTGGCACGTATCTCAGCCGCCCCTTTCTG